AAGCTTTGCAAATGGAACAAGACAATTTACATTTAAAATAAGAAAAAACTATTGCATTATCTTATTTCAGGTGCATATCTAATTATCTTATTTTAAGAGTAAAATACTAATTCCATTGGCAAATTATCTTATTAACCAGCTCAAATTAAGTGTAAATAAGCTTCATTTAAGAATTTTTTTTACTTACTTCTAGGTCATTTTTGCAGCGAAAAAAGTGATTTTCCATTTTGTTTTTCAAATCATAAGTGTCACCCATATTGGATCACTGCTCTATTAAGGTTGAAATTCATTTTAGTAAGATAATATCCTTCCTTTTTTTAGACAAATATAAAGTTTGAATTCTTAATGCATGAAACTGTTTCCATGGAGTTTAAATCAAATCTGCCCCAAGACCTTCTAAAGCACCTCTTACACCTAGCTGTGGTCTGCAGGGTTCAAAGAAAAGTGCCAGACAGAGATAATTGGCTTCTAAGGGATTCTGTAAAAGAAAGAAAATGGTTATATTTGCTGATCATAGCATCCAGTACTAATTTGAATAAAAAAAACAAAAAGATTTAGCGTTATATAATCCACAGGGGGCCTCTTAAGAAAGCTTTCAGAACCCTGCACAGATGAACGCCACTAGTGACCTAAAGGTTGCATATTTCCATCAAAACATATTTTAATTATGTATCATTCTGCATTCTATAATTTACATATTTTAATAATTAAATTAAAAAGGAAAATACATATAAAGTAAATAAATTTAATAAATTTATATTATTAATATATTTATATTAAGGTATTTATTTCTATCATTAATATATTAACAAGGCTTATAACTTGTACTATGTGATATCTGGATTATTTTCGAATAACAGCCAACCAAATATTGTATCCATTGAAAATGACCATGGCGTCCTTGGATGCCATCCAGGGACTCCATGGTCATTTCAGTACTGCACACACAGATACTTTGAGTTCAGTTGCAGCTAGAGGAGAATCCAGACACAGAGCTAATGGCCAACATGGGCCACATCTGTCATCTTCCTGCGGCTAGGGAGATTGCTGCTCATATGTGCAAAGTCCTGACAGTAAAATCTCTCATTTCATTTTTAAAACAAATGTCTCAGAGTCTGGAAACACATCAAGCCACACTCGGTATCTGGGACGCTGCAAAGACTAGTGGATTATTGCAACTGATGGGTGGGTGGATAGGGATATAAGATGCAAGAATGAATGACAGTTATTAGTACTGCTTGTGTGTGTGTGTGTGTGTGTGTGTGTGTGTGTGTGTGTGTGTGTGTGTGTGTGTGTGTGTGTGTGTGTGTGTGTGTGTGTGGGTGTGTGTGTGGGGTGTGTGTGTGTGTGTTTTAAATCATCGGTGACACTCTAAATAGTTTGATTATGGAGTATTTCTAATAAATGCATGTTTACACCTCATAGAGCACCTAAAGGAACTGAGTGGCATTGGTGGAATTTTCTTTGTGCTAATTATACGCAGCTCTCCTTCCCTAACCATAAATACTACGACTGTAACTGAAGGCCACATGTACCACACAGACAAGGTTTATATGTTTTTAAAGAAGCCTTTCTGTTTATTTACCCAGAGGAAAATTATTAACAGTGAAGGTTTTCAGCTTTTTATCTAAACACTTCCTGTCAGTCTCAAATGTATTCATCTGACGCCTGAAGGCTGAAACCTCTGAAGCTTTATGGTTTGTGTTTATATAACAATAAAAACCCTGTTCACAACCCACATTCAGCTGCCTTACAGGAGCAACTTTCTGATAGTGAAGCTTCTTTAATAATCCACTAGACCTAAATTCCAATTATGATTAATGAAGAAAACACAGTTAATACCAAAGTGTGACATAAACAATAAATCAATAATTTTATTATTTTGCTCCAACAGATTGAACCTATGTAATAATAACTGTTATTTGTATCACCTTTTTTCTACCACTTCTAGGCAAGGCAAGGCAAATTTATTTGTATAGCACAATTCAGTACAAAGACAATGCAAAGTGCTTTACATGATTAAAATATAGGAAAATAAAACAGAAACAAAGCAAGTAAGTAAGACTAATGGATGGCTTTATCTTTTCCTTTTACTCAGTTATTTCTTCCTCCGCTCAAGTTTCAATATTTAATATGTGCAGCTGGAGACAACTTCACAATAATATGCTTTTCTATGTGTATGTCATTTGGATACTATGTGAAAGAGTAATAAAAAACAGCACATTACACAGAGCTGCAAACAAAAATAAAACATATTGAAATAAATATTTGGCATTCATTTATATTCAACTACTGCTCAAATATTTCTAAAGGAAATCCTGTAACTTCCTGTCTCAGAAGTCAAATTATTCATAAAGAATTTATTTAAACCGGTGTGTTATTTTCATAATGAACAAAGCAGAGTGCTTGTTAGATAATATTGGTGAATAGAGTGAGAGAGATGCAATAAAGATCAAGAGAGCTGTGCAGAATATAAAAGCAGGTGAAGGCTTTAAAACAATATTCCAGATTTGACACTGTTCAGTTCCTCCTCAAAAAATAGAAACAGCTGCCCAAAAAAACAGTGATCAAGGAGAAAATAAACCAGAGATGCAACCAAACTGACAGGTTTTTAAAAACTGTGGAGCTTCTGCATTAGGCATAGTTTTCCTAACTTACAGCCTCAAAATGAGTGCGATTCAAGCAGTTGTTCTCACCATGTGCTTCATGTCTATAAATGCTATAAGTCTTCGGGGTCTCCACAGGTAAAATAAGGAGCAGTTTTAAATGTCTAAGTGAGTAAAGTTGCTCTGCAGACATCAAGAAACACCAGAGAGCTGTGCTTTAAAAACCCTAAAAAAAAATCCTGGATTCTTAGAAAAGTATGAAAATATCTTTTCACGTGAACATCAGAATATATAAAAAAAATAAAATAAATAAAAAGATGAAGTGTCTTCTGACCTTCAGAGTGTTGTCCAACAGGGACCATTACATTCTATGACGCAAAGGTCTTTGTAAGCCTTTGCTTCACGCTTATGAGGAAGAGTTTTTCTGACAATGATGATGCTTGAATTTAATATTACCCCCAACCTTTAAAAAAAGTAGCAGAAATCCTTATTTTTCTCCTTCAAATCATTGACTTTGCTCTGTAGAAACCTGCTTTTTAAGTGGAGGTCCTCTCATATGTTGTGTGTTTGCAGACGGAGACCGGGATGTGACTCAGCAGAGTGTAGCACAGGTGAGGATTTCCCCTCATTGCTCAGTCCTGCCTGATGGGGTAAGAGCATTAAATGAGTCGGAGATGATCAATGCACAGCAGTACAAACATGTAACCATTTTTTTCTTTCCTGCAAAACCACATCTGCAATACAACCCAGAGCAGATTCAAACTTAAGCTGAACCGAGGTATACAAATAAATGCATAAATAGAATATTTTGCACAGAGGCAACTAAAATTGTTGGTTTTATACATGAAATGATCAACACATAGTCAGTTTGCAACAGAACAGACTGGGGAGATGTATTCATTTGTTTCTCATGACTTTATTAGTTAATAACAATCATTGTTTATTTGTTGATTATCTGTCTGTCTTCTCAAACCTCTGGTCGGTCGTGGCAGAGAACTGTTCACATCCAGCCAGGTTCCATCAAGGGTTTCATCCTATTAAGGAGGAATCTCCTCTCCTCTGTCGCTACCTGCATGCTCTACATAGGAAATTCCTGCAATGTCGGATAGTATGCATGAGACTGTCAACTGATGCTACTTGCTCGTCCAGAAGGAATGAAAGCTGCAACAGCCTAATGCAATTTGCCGTGTTTCCTTAGAAAACATTTTAAGCCAATTTTGTTTACTATGGTTTAAATTAAATTACTTTGCAAAGTGTCTTGATATGATATGTTATTAATTAGAATTAAATGAGTAGACTGAATATAATTCCACTGTTTCTTAAGATTAGTTGACATGCATGCTTGCATGACAGTACCACTCAGGCATATCTCAAAAGAAATAAAGACAATCAAAAATTACAGTTATCACTGGAGAAAAAAAAGTTATACTTATTTTATTTACATTTCAATAAAGGTTTATCAAATAGTATGTATCTAGTTGGACATTTTTATAAAATGCTTAATTTGTATTACAGCAATCAAGCTTTTTGCACAGATATTCTATGGTATTTTAATGATTTACATTTGCTGACGAGGTCTATGTCTTCTGCCATCACCTTAATCTTTAACCTCATCCACCAATACTGTAAAGTCTTTGATCTAGGTAAACACACTTGCAAAATCACAATATAAAATTGGTCAGATGTATGAATAATTGTTTGCATTCATCCATGTAAAACAGTTAGTTTTAGTACATAGTTATATAGCAAATAAATATGTATTTTTTCTCTCTCTGTTCCACTGTGGAATAGTAGACTTTCAAAAATGAGCAACTAATCATTAATTCATAATAATAAGACTAAAATTACATGTTACTCAAGTTTGACATATGACATATTTTACTCAAAAATAACTTATCTTAATATTTTTTTTAGTATTGCCGCAGTATGTTTGAATCTGGAGGCAAAAAAATTTTAAATTCTCAGCAGCTTCAAAGGGAAAAACAATAATTATAGGAGCTGAGCGCAGATTGATCAGCGTTTTAGCGATGAGCTCATGAGCATGTTTAAATCATCCTGTCATGTTGCATTCCAACAGGAACGCAGGTAAAAGTCACGCCCTTCTTCCTGCTGTCGTGATGCGTTCAATGCCGTCAGCCCTTCCTTGGCTGACTTAGAAGTAAACTTTAATATCCAAATAAACATTCAGTAAATATTTGATTACATTTTAACATTATTAATCTTCATTTAACCCCCAACATAAAACGAGTACAGATACCGGCGCGCGGATACAATAAGTGAACGTTTGAAGCTCGTTTTAAAATCTTGTGAAGTTGCACATCTCGCGCTGTTTCCTATCTCTGTGGAATCTCAGGTGGGCAGGCCGCGCGCACCTCAGCTCCACCCCTGCCGGTGATTCATCCCTCCAGCCTCACTTAAAAAGTCCTACCTGAGCCGTGTGTCGCAGAGAGAGCTGCCAGGTGGTTTCCTGCTGCCCTGTAAGATCTAAGGAAATCTTAATAAGGATCATCCACACTTCAAAGAGGATCCTGAAGAAGTGAGTTTCTCGCTTTAAATATTTAAATGTGACAGGGGGGATGCTTTTTAAACGTATACAGCAGATAAACGCATTCTCTAAATAGTTTATAGTACATTAATCTGTTAATTATTTATTTGAGACGTGTTTTTCTCACGAAGTGGTGCGTTTGTGCTTGCATGTGCGCGTGAAAGTCTAGTAACACAGCTGCAACGTAATATAACACCGTGTAGTTGCATGCAAACACGAATTACAGTAACTGAGTGTCCTGTATTTCTGTGTTGACATCAGTTGTTATTCAGATTTTCGAAACATTCTTCTGTTACAATACAAATAATTATATATAAATTCTTTAAGGGAAGCTGGATATATTATTATTATTATCATGGAGATTCTAGGCATATTTCTCCATCATACCGTTGCTGTGAGGTTAATAAAAAGAGCAGCTGGAAGTATCGTTTCCTTGGTGACCGTGTCTCCAGCTGTATTTTTAGTAGGCTTATATTCTTTTCAATGTCAAATTTAATGATTAATCTGCTTTGGCTGTTTAGATCTTCACTAATATATATGTGTTATTATCTCTCTTTTTTTTAATAATCTGCATAAATTGTTCTCCCCACCACAGACAAGTTTGATTAAAGGCTGAGTAGATTTTATTTTTGCATTTACAGTCCTTGTTGTCTGCTCCCAGAGTTGGGAAATAATGAAATAAAGCCTCATGCAGGGCCCGCCTAAAGCAGCAGGAAGCAATCCTGTTGAAACTTGCCAGAGCAGGTGTAGTTGCAAGAAACTGTTTATCTTTTTTTTTTTGTCACTGTGTTCCTGGTACTGAGAGAAACAAACTGTTGAGAAAGGGACCCCCCCCTCCCCCCATGCACACATAGAATTGTATATCCCCTTTGTACTTCTCTCCAGCTAGAAACAAATTAATATCTCAAGGTTTTCAGTCCATGAAAAAGCTACTTTAGAGTCCAGAGTGTTCCTCCTGAGTCAGTAAATTTCCAGTAAGTGCAGAAACATGTGGAGCTAACAGCAGAGCAATTACTCCCAAAAAAAGAATTCACAGCTTGGACATCGGCATGTCAGAGCTCACATTGTGCGTGCAACTGTCTGTTTGTATGTATTTATCTGAACCCGCAACATCCACATAAACATGAACTCTTTGGAATAGGGAAGTACTCTTATCTCAAGTAAATCTGTGTTCGTGTGAGAAGCCTTTAAAAAAAAAAACAAAAACAAAAAACACACACACACACATAGAGCAAATATCCCTGACTCACATTTGACAATAAATGTCATATAAAGTGGTTCATGGGTCTAGAAGATCTCATTTGAACCTGGACACACAATACAACATTTTATTGTGTCACATAATGTGCACAAAGATGTAAAACAAAACTCTTGTGCATAAAATATGCATTTTATTTGTGGTGATTTTATTTAATAAAGCAAATATCCATGCAACCTTTTTTCGAGTCAAGCAAGCTTCCCCCTAAACACAAAGAAAAAATAATTTATTTCCTGATTTCAATAAATTTAAGAAATGATGGGAAAATAAAACCTGTTTCCTGATTAGTCTGTTTAATTATATAAAGACTCCTTTCTAAGGGTTTGGGATTTCAGTGAACAATAGGGACAGCAATTATCCCAAAAATGTAGAAAAAGGAGAGGTCTGTCTACCAGAATTACTCCAGGAGTGGACTAGGTCACCCTAAGGGAGCCAATGAAGAAACATCTAAAGGACTGTGGGTCTCAGTTAAAGAAACTGGACATGAGAGCCTCCCGTGGTGAAAAAAAAAAAGGCTCACTAAAAAATGAAAACTATCAAACACAGTGGTGGTAGCATAATGGTCTGTGGATCCTTTGCTTCTTTTGAACTTGGATAACTCTCTTAAATTGATGGAACTATAAATTCTGCTTGATAAGAGTAAATATTGAAGGCGGATGTGATTCATTTCTAACCTTTAGCTGAAGCAGACTCCTGTTATGCAGCAGAGCAGTGATCAAAAGCAGAATTCCCTTTTTGAATGGTTCAGAAAAACAAATTAAAAGATTGCATCTGCAATTGGATCTGATTGACATAACCTTAAACAGGTGGAAACCATCCCTATGTACCTCAATTAAAACTATTAGAAAACATGATTTTAAGTTTTGGCACTAGACAGTGTTGGTTTGGGTAGCTTGTCTTCCCTTTATTATAAAATTATCAAAAAATCCCTTGTTGTGTTCAAGAAGATCTGTCTGATATAAAACGTTTTTTAGAGTAAAACGGGAAGAAAAAGTCTTAAAAGAAAAAAAATCTTTGCATCTTTTAAAACATCTTCCCGTTGTTTCAGAAAGATGTTTGCTGCCTCTTTGGTTTCCCCCAAAAAAGAAATAGAAAATGTTTGTTTTTTTTGTTTTTTTTCCGGCAACCGCACATATTTTTCTCCTGTTGAGTGGATGCTGGTTCTTTTGCCTCTTGGCTGTTTTGTATGTTGAATGGTGGCATTTAGAGTGAAACATTTTATACCGACCACATTAGTTCCAACCTGCCTATTTGCAGGAAAGTAATTTTTCATGTCTCTCTCTCTTTCTATATATATGTATGTATAATAACTGTGATTATATGACTCCAGTATTAGTACGTGTTGAACCCTTTTTGGCCCGATCATTGGTTCAGATCTGTCGTTCTTTAGAGAATCCAAATAGCTTAAAGAAAGTCAGAATTTTTAAAGAAAATAGACTGTTTTTTTATGAAAATCTGCAATTCAGTTAAACTAATATGCTATGTTCTAAGTAAAAAAAATAATCTGAACAAAATTATGAAGGATAATGAAGAAAGCAGATCTGGTCTAAACTTTGTTATCAGTAAGAGGTTCATGCCTTGGTTTGTCACTTTCCAAGCATAGATTAATCCAATAATCCAGTCATAAGATAAATCTTTAATTTGAATATCATGTATTGCTTTGGTGTCATTGTGTCAATTAAAATGTGATGTTTTCCCTCCATATCTCTCTGTTTTAGGTGTAAACAAGACTCCCAGCCAAGCCCTGTATTTATCGTACTTCATTAAGGACATGCTGTTGATTTCTCCCGGCTGGGTCAGTTTGTGACGACTTGAACAAGATGAGGACTGGCGTCTGTTTGCTCGTGCTGTGTGTGCTGTCTGCAGCTGCCGTTCGTACCAGTAAGTTGAAACTTCCCGAATGATTGATATTTGTTGCAAACGATGAAGCAGTTTGAAAGATAAGTTCTGTCTAAAGTTAGAACTGTTATTTTTTACTCGTGTAGGTGACCTTAAAGAAGTGTTTGCCTGAAAGCGTACTGTTCATCTTTAGTCCCTGTATTCTCATCATTGACTCAGTGGTATGCAGTCTGTTTCCACTAATTAACTCAAAGGCTTTAGTTCTTGCTGTGAATCTGTAGCTAACAAAGAGCAGAGCTATAGAAAAGTAAGAGCATCGACTCAATGTGAATCCTATCAATGAATGTAGCTAACAGCTTTTTTTTTTTCTGGTCTATTGAAAGATAAAAAAGGACTGAGTGTGAGTGCTATAATATAACACCATATACGGCTGCTCTGTGTATTTTGATTGAGATTATTTTAGGATTTGATATTATCTGTTAGGGCCTGTTGCTCTCCTTCTCTGCCAAAAAAGGGAGATGGAGCTGAATTTTGTCATTTTATTTTATTTATTTATTTTTCAATATCACTCTAGCTTACAAAACCTTTCAGATCTTTCTCCTTTATGTCTTCAGTGTATAGATACAAACTAGAATTACAAGAATGTATTCGTGTTACAACAGTGGTTTCTAGAGAAATGTTGTTCCACTCGTTTTGACTAGAATGTTTCATATCAGCAACACTGGACAATATCCCAGTGTGAATAACGTGTTTAGGGTTATGCCATACACAGATTTTAACTCTAAAACCTCTATTTTGACCAACTGTAAGTCAGGCACGGACAGCCAGAGTGTTTGGATGTCCTGAAATGTGTCCTTGGATTTTTTTTTTTTTTTGTTGGTTGATCGATCAGGGTTATAACTTTTTTGCCATAGGCAGGTGGATTTGCGGTAGCTTTTCGTTTTAATAATAGATTAATCATCCAGTTGCCCCCAAAACAGCTTTGGGTAGCTAAAAAAAAACACTTCAAGACCGACCTAACTCTATATCCAAGTTCTAAAACCTTCACATATGAAATAGCCACGATGGATGTGGTTAGGCAAGACAGTGGTGTTCACTATTTACCATTGAAGAGAGTAAAAGGTTAATGAGGTTAGAACATGGTGGAAAAGAAGCGAAAAAACAATTAATGAGCATAAAAAAGCAACTGGAAAAGACAAGCAATCAGAAAACATGATGGGAAATAATGAAAGAAAATTAGATTTTTAAAAAACAACAAGAATAAACAAACAAAAGTTGATTAAAAGAAAAGGATGGAATAAGACCTTATTAATAAGAGCACAGAAAAGTCAACTGATGTGGCAAGGACATAATAAGCAGACAGGAACCCAAATGAAAACCAAAGCCAATGCTTCTTACCATCACAACCAGAGGATCTTACATCTTGACTGTGGCTCAAGGCACTGATGTGACGTTTTCATTATAATTCAGACCGCAGGTCATTTTTGATTTATGTCTTTAACATTACAGTTGTTTTGCCTGTTTAGAGCTCTGAATTCATGGACCTCTGTAATCCGATAGTAACTGATTGGTCTGAGGGGAAGCATTAGAATAGCCTTGCTTGATTTAGAAAACCTTGCAACTTCATGGTGCAGGAGAAGAGCTTATTTAATTAACATATTATTTTATGACATTTTGATGCAAGTCTTAAAGTACTTTATGCATTCATCTCTACAGAGCTAAAATCATATGGTTAAAGAAACTTAATGTTCTTAAAAATTATTATCAGTTGGGAAAACTTAGTCTTAAGAAGCAGATGACACTGCTGTAATGGGTTAAAAGCTCTGAACACAGAGAAACGCTGGATAAAGGACTAAACAACTGTATGTTATTTTCTATGCAAGTTAACCAGCTTTGTAAACAGTTGCCTTACTGTACTGATGGGACCCAGGAGAGGAATTTGCATTCAGGAATGGTTTGTCACTTTTGTTGCCCAGGTACATCGCCACCAGGGAAACCCCGTATGGTTAGCTGCAGATCCCGAGACAAGGAGACGTTCTCCTGCTGGTGGGAGCCTGGCTCTGACGGAGGGCTGCCAACCACACACCGCCTCTACTTCATGAAAGAGAGGTCAGCTTATTCTTCATCTATAACCTTTTGATCTTTTGCTCTTGATTCAGCAGGTCACAGTAGAGGCAGACATTGGGGGAAAAAGGGGAGGGACGAATGGCAGAATTCCTCAGCTGGGGTTTATAATCACTATATTTTTTTTTGTTTGTTCTAGCCACAAGGCCAGCAGATGGCCCATAGAGTCGCTGATAAGTTTATCAGCCACACTGATGAGAGTAAACCCCATTTTTAGTTGTAATGTGCTCCATAGAAATGCTGATGGAAAACTACTGAGTCCTTTGAGTGAGAAATGAGCACAAATTACATTGATGAATGAGTTTAAATCATTTTAAAACCTTAAAGCCTCACAGCTTATTACATTAAGAGTTCAAAATCAAACTCTAGTTAACAGCTTTCTATCGTGTTTTTAGAGCTTTTAAAAGTAAGACGTCTGTGTTATATGCTTCAATGTAATGTACCAAACTACAATGCCTGGTGAGGAATATCTCCTCAGTTGCAGAGAAAGTTTAATATACGTTCAAAGCTTTTTTTTAGACTTTCTTGAATTCCCTTATTGTTTTTCCTTGTACTTATTTTATTTATTTATTTATTTTTTGTCAGATTTCTCATATATTCTTCCCTGTCCTTTAAATCAGGAAAATGAAAAAGTAGAAGTCGGGATATGCTGAAGTCTGAAAGTAAACAGAGGAAACGATCAGATCAGTTTTTATTTATGGCACCTTTGAACATGAGAGGATCTTTAAGTGCTTTAATTAAAAAAAGAGAGCAAATCAAATGATTTTGATCAGATGATGTTTTCCTAAAATCTGCTTTAAATACGATAGAGTTGGTGTCCGTAATGGATTTCTGATTGCGTTTTGCATGTACAGATAACGACTTTGCAGATTTTTTAAAATTATTTTATGACAGCAGCAGGCAGATTTCTAACAGATCAGCAGCAAATATTACCTTTTTCTTTTTTTTAATGTGTTTTCTATTATTTTTTTCGAGTCCTGTATATATTTAAGGTTTATTGCTTTGATGTTTGGCGTTTGGCTTTGTCACTTTTTAATTTCCCTTTTTCACAGCTCTCCTGTGTTGTTTGCACTGGCAAAGCATAGGCATATGCACCATCTTTTAATGTGCTTAAAGGTTTTATTTTTTTTTATTTTTCAATAAAGGAAAAGTTGTTTTATTCTTTACCCAGCTTCATATAAAGATGAATTTGCTGCTTCCAAAAGCTGGAATGCAGAGTTCCTTTTGTTTTTCTTCCAATAAAGCCAAATCATTTTTCAGGCAAACCTCTCATGGATTGCGTGGAGGATATTAAAAATAGTCTCACCCTAAGCATAACACTTTTTTGTCACCATGCTGTTATCACCGTGGCACTGAGTCAATCCTCTGTCTCAAGTCTGCAGCTGATTCAGATTTTCAACGTAAATTTTTTTTTTTATGATGATGATGATGATTTTTAATATGTCTATTTTTGCTTTGAAATTATCTTGCTTCTCTGCTGACAATAATAAAAAAAAAAATAATTGCCCTATGGGTTTTTGTAGGTCTAGGCGGTCCTCAGACAATAACATGATGATTCATCTTCTTAGAGCTTAAGAGGCCATAGATCAAGAATTATCAGTTTAAAATGTTGTTTTTTACTCGCTGAACAAACTCTGTTCAGTAGCAGGATTTGATAATCATACCCAGAGACTGTCTCACAGTTAAAATGAAACTTGAGACACAAAAGCCTCAGAAAGTCCTTGTTCTTTACTGGAGGAGCCTGAAGATGTTGGAGACCAAATACTCATTATGCTCCAAACGATTGGATGTATGTTTAAGACTAGATTCATTGATTTCTGAGCATCACCAGTTTGGCCAGTGTCAATCATTTATCTCAGTTAAATTTAGGCCACAGATCGCTCATAAAACACAAAGAAATCCACAGAGGAGAAAGTAGCTATGAAGGCAATTCATCGAGGTGGTAAAATCCATTCATCAGCCTAATTGGAAGCATAGATATATTCACATTCACTACAGCTTCAATAAATGAAGAATTTATATATATATATATATAAAAAACAACTGTTTTCTCACCCCTCGTGGGGTGGTATGTGTCATCCTCAAGCTCGGGTCCTCTACCAGAGGCCTGGGAGTTTGAGGGTTCTGCGCAGTATCTTAGCTTTTCCTAGCTAGGACTGCGCTCTTCTGGACAGAGACCTCTGATGTTTTACCTGGAATCTGCTGTAGCCACTCTCCCAGTTTGGGGGTCACAGCCCCCAGTGCTCCAATTACCACTGGCACCACTGCTGCTCTCACTTTCCACATCTTTTCTAGCTCCTCCTTCAGTCCTTGGTATTTCTCAAGCTTCTCGTGTTCTTTCTTCTTGATGTTGCTGTCGCTTGGGATTGCCACATCTATCACTATTGCCTTCTTCTGCTGTTTGTTGATCAACACGATGAAATTTTCTTTGAAATAAACATTGCAAAACACTACCAAAATATTATTTATAGCACAAAAAAGTAGTACAGACTTTCAAATCTAAATGTTGTGTAAAAATATACCAAATTTGGACTCAATCAGATGAATCATATTTATTTTAGAGTGGTATTAGTGAGAAATTTCTTAGGCGGAGAGGCCATTTTGGCACATTTATCCATAAATGTCACCAAACTGTGCCAAATATGTTTTTTACATCAATACTGGGGGTTTGGTAAAACTACGAGGTCATGTAGCAGCTGGACCCGCCGGTGGGTCCGTAGGGTTCAAGGGGTTAGACAATCATCTTTAAAACATTAACATATTATACAGTAGGCGCTTGTAATTCTTGATAAGTTGGCTTTTTTCAAAGAATTATGTGGATTTTATGTCTCTAAACTTGTAATTTCTATCCAGAAAGCGGGCAAAAAAATAACCTTAAACACTGTTAAAAAAAATTACTAGCAGCCAAACTTTGTTTTACTGTATTTGTTTTAATCGTTTTAATTGTTGTGTTTTCTCCAGTAAAACTTTTAGTATTCAGTTATGTGCAACAATTTGTTTCAGCTCTGGCTTCTGTCTTAAATCTCCTTTTTTATGGTTTATTTAGTTACAGTTACATCTACTTGGGTAACTTTTTTTTTTAAGTAAAATGTAATTTTCTAAAAGCACCATAAAGACATATGACATAAACCGTTTATGTTAAATTTAGATTTCACGTTTTGTGATCAAGCTTTTGTGCTTAGTTTTTTTTTAGCTGAGCTCTTTGTGCTATCTGCAGGTTAATTAAAGACAAAGTAAACAATATTACAATACAAACTACTATTAAAATGTACAATACCTACTTTAAATAATGGTTTCATGAGTTTGATATTTAAAACGTATTCTTCATGAATTTGGTATTTTGGAATTGGTTAGTTTTTCTTTATTTTTTTTTACGTTAATATTTTAGTCTTTAAATTACCTACATTTTCACATAACTTTATCTTTCTGTCTGTTATCTTTTTTTGAATAAAAAAATCTGATGTAATGATCAGTTGCTCAGTACTTGAATTGTAGTTTTGCCAAATAGTTTTCACTTCTACTCACCAGTTTTCCCACCTTTAGTAGTTTATAAGTCAGACTCATGCGTAGATTGAAAGCTTGTGTGTTCACTTTTTATATTTCTGTTGCTCACTGCTCACTCCAATATCCTCCCTTTGCTGTTCCGTTTTTTCCTGTGGACAGGGCTAATGGATTTCAGGAGTGTCCTGACTACATCTCTGCAGGAATAAACTCCTGCTTCTTTGACAAGTTGCACACCTCCTTCTGGGCAGAGTACAACCTGACAGTGGTGGCCACAAATGCCCTTGGAAACACCTCATCAGACTTCTTCTTAATACATGATGTGTGGGAATATGGTAAGTTGTGGCTGAGAATGGAAAACAAAAAACAAAGTGTTGTACACAGTGTAACTTTACTGTTTTCCTGTAACCTAAAGAAGTAAAGCAATATAAGTCAACATTTGAAAGACATTTTAAATCTTTGTTGGTTGAAATAGGCTGATAAGTCCATCTATACTCTGTTTCTCATGTGAAAGTTTGGATTCTTGCATATAAAAGTAGTATCCTGTTTACCAGAAAAGATTAGATATCATGATGAGCTGTGTGAAAAGGTTGAGCGCTATGCAGTTCAAGTATTTGGCAGTTCAAACATGGCTGAATTATGACAAATTCACAAGGCCTCAATTCAAAGTGAAGGATTTCATGGCAGGCTGCTGAGTGGGTACTCCGCCTTCCTCCCACAGTCCAAAAACATGACTGTTAGGTTAATTGGCTTCTCTAAATCCCCCTTAGGTGTGAGTTTGTGTGTGAATGGTTGTTTGTCCTGTTTGTCTCTGTGTTGCCCTGCGATTTACTGGCGACCTGTCCAGGGTGTACCCCGCCTCTCGCCTGTAGACAGCTTGCGACCCCGCTTGGGATAATCATGATGGAAAATGCATAGATGGATGGATGGATTTCATGGCACATATCTTTTTCTTAATATTTGCTTAAACGAAAAAGTACACTGCAAATTGTTTTAGAAGGAGAAAGGTTTATCTCATTAATCTGCTCTTTTTCATTAACAGAATGGTCATAAAAAGGTTCTCATCTAAATGTTCTGTAATCTGTCTGGCAAATGAAAGAAAAATACTGTATGTAGACCAAGGGATAGTGTGGTAAAGAAATTTGGGTTGGGAAGGTTTGTTTTCCAAAAACGATAATTTTTTTTGGGTCATGTTTAAAAAATATGACATTAAAGGTCTACTGTTTGACGTACTTAATCTTAAGTTAAATTTTTTGGCTCTTTTTTGGTTCAAAAATCCTCAATCTTTAACAATCTGGAAACATGTCGGCTCAAAGTAGCTGTGACCTCCACTAGAGGGTTGTGTAGGAAGAAACCAACACAGCCGGGAATTATCTTTTCATAGCGAGCTAATGATCAGCTTGGTTTTATTGGCTGCCCTGCCATCTTGAGCTCAGAGAGGAGTGGAAAAGTACTGAGAGAGGAGTGGAGTGAGTAGCAACAAAGAACTATAACAGAATGAGGTAGAACAGGTTCAAGCCTTCTCTGCATGTTGTGTACAATCACAGATCATATTTCACGGGCCTTGTTTGGCGATGGAGGCGGCTGCGTATCTTAGTTTTTTTGTGCCATGACAAAAAAAACAGCAACTCGGCTACTCTGCTGTTTTCCATATATATATATATATATATATATATATATATATATATATATTAGGGGTGGGTATTGGCAAAGAAGTCATGATTCGATTCGAATCATGATTCACATGCCACGATGCGATTCTATCACGATGCATCACGATACTTGAAATATTGCGATGCATCGCGATGCGTTGCGATATTTTCACTGAACACTGTAAGAAAAGGATACAGCCCTTACCATAGTGTGTGATCTGGATAGTGTCTTCAATTGATAAATAACTGAAAGCAACTGAATTCATACATAGCTGTATTTATTGAAACGACTCTTGGAGGTGTTGCCATGAAAACAAATACTGGACACAAATATTACTATTACTGGCGTGGACACACTGACAAAAAGATCTTAGGATTCATCAAACTTAAAATAACAAAATAAGGATAATCAGTGCCGTTTACATGGCCTCAGTGGTCCTTTAAACCAATGAAACGAAAACATTCAAATGTATATTCCCCCTTTATGTGCATCATATCAATTTCATTTTTACCTTCTTTGTTTTAAAGCCAGAATGCATCCAAGCATCTGACTTGAAATGTGATGGAGCCGCGGGGCGAATTTTCTCAGTGTCCTCCATGTTTTATTTCATATGACTCGTCTCAGTATCCCACGGTCGGAAATGCTAGTGACACAAGGCAGCGGGCGTCAACACATTTGAGCAACATCTGCTGGACTGGAAGTTGTATTCCACTTGATTTGGCTGATGTGCGCCAACCATTAATGCATTTTATTTGTTCATTTTTTAAAATTAAGAATCGATTCTTGCCTTCAAGAATCGATGCAGTAGATCACAAAAATTAGAATCCCGATGCATCGTCATGACGATTATTTTGCACACCCCTAATATATATATATATATATATATATATATATATATATATATATATATATATATATATAAAACAAACAGGCTGTTTGGTGCACATCCAACTCTGTGTGGTTTGACTCCTCCATAAAACTGGACGGGTACAAACTGCAACCAATAAAGAAGTCAGCAAGGATTTACAATCCAATCTGACTTCCATCCCCGTCAGAAAAGGTGCAGAGGAGTGGCAGGGCTTTCAATCCTGAGATTGTGAGTTCGATCCCCCACTCCCACAGACTGCCACTCTGGGTCCCCGAGCAAGACCCTTAACCTCACACTGCTCCCCGGGCGCCTCACAATGGCAGCTCACTGCTCCCCAAGGGGATGGGTTAAATGCAGAGAAGTTAAAAAAAAAAAAAAAGAAAAAAAAAGATAACATCTCTGCAGACACAAGGTCTGGGCAATAAATCCATATCAATGTATATCAAAGTAAACACCTGATCAATATTAAAATGAGATGCGTCTGATGCATTTTTCAGTAATAACACTGATCCAAAGATCCGAAATGGCCCCTCACCCTAACTCAGCAAGACTAAGAAATGTTGTTCATTTCTTTAAACTGTTTAATTGGCTGGCCAAATTAAAAAGGTTGTGTTTAAATAGCGTTAGGTATGATGAAGCTGTAATGGTAACGGTTATGGTAAGGTTCACGGTTAGGCTGTAAAAAAGTGTTTGAAATTAATGGAAGTCAATGGAGAGTCCCCACAAGAATAGAGAAACGTGATTGTAGGTGTGCATGGTCATTAATTTGTTTTTTTGACAAACTGTCCTTTTGCATGAGCTATAAAATTCAATTTGGCTCTTATCTAAACAAACCACATTTTTTTAGATGTTTGCACTTTCTCCTTCATAGTTTGTGGCATAAAATCAGCTTTGCTTCTTACGCTCTTTCAGATAGGCTAGACTGATGACCAGGAACAGAAAGAGGTGCCTGTCTTTTTCTAAGTAGTGCCGATCGGAGAGCAGAAGTCCAGTCTATGTTGGATAGAGCTGTGCAATATGGCTGAAAAATATATCACCAAATAAGCCTTTCATAACAGACAATTTTGATAATTCTTGATTATTGTTTTTTTCACCTATTTGAAAAAGGGACCACAGGGATAAAAAAAAAATTCTAACCCCAACATAAACTCAATTCATACCCAAGTCTTAAACCTAACACATAACCTTTAAACAGCATTAACCCATCAGGACCCCGCGTCGGTCCCCACTAGAGCAGCCGGTTTGTTATGATTAATGGAAGATGATCATAATAATGTAAGAAATGTCCGTCCGCACACACACCCTGCTGTGATACATGGAAATGGCAGCATTATGCTGATGGGAGGCTTTTTTTCAAAAATGACCTAAACCCAACTTAGAATCTGTATAAGGATAGAAAATTAACATTCTTTTAATAGGATTAAGCTGAACTGTTTTTATTTTTTTTTTTTGGAGAATATTGACCTAAAATTGAATTCTCTAGATGAAGAAAGCTGGGAGAGACAAACCCCAAGAGATTTGCAACTATAACTGCTCCTAAAGTTGAATATTGACTCACAGTAGTGAGGTGAGAAAACATGGAAAAAAAGGGAACATTTTCACAAAGCTGTATGTGTGAGAAGGACGCTGCTTGTTGCTGCAGATAACATATCCAGCTTCAAATCATGTTTGTTGTTCTTGGGAAAGCTCTGTTGAACCTCTTTCAATTCTCACGCTCCACTTTCCTTTTACTAAAGTGATTGTGAGGACATAGTTTTATTAATATACCGTAAATCCTCTAATATAGGCCCGGGCCTTTATTTCACTCAAGTGCATCACGGTCCAGGCCTTTATTGGAAAGAGGCCAGAATTAGAGACAGGCCTCTATTGCTATTTGAGCAAAACAGACTACCAGTTGAATTAATAAAAATGAGATTTTGTGTCTATTTGAAACTATAAAACACTAGGTTCATTTATTGAAAAAGTACAGTTACCATGTTCGCTTGGTTTGAAGTAAAAAAGAAAAAAAAATCCTCCAATTCTGTTTAATCCTCCTCCTCAGTTTCCTCCTCCTCTTCATCTCTCCCTTTAATCTCCTCATCACTCGCGCTCCTCCTCATGTTCTGCTGCGTGTCTGTTCTCTTCCTCGCGCAGACGGGCAGCAGTCAGGGCCTGTCGTCCAGCAGCGCAGGGCTGTGGTACTTGTATGTTACTACCACAAGTATAATGTTGAGGTATGCCCAGAAAAAAAGTTTATAGCCCCGGCCTGTATTAGAGACCGGTCATTATTTACCTCCTCTGACAGCGAGACAGGCCAATGTTAGAGTCCCGGCCGCTAATGGAATACAGGCCAATATTAGAGAATTTACGGTATAATAAAAAGGTAGTAGCGTTGTAGCTATATAGTGTGACTGATTCTGTTGGTATGTTTTCTTTTTTGCACTTAAGCCATTCAGGATGTAATGTCTAACTTATAAAAGTTTTTCCATCGTAATGCTAGAAATGTGCATTTATCTGGTTGATGTAATGGTTGATGTAATGTATCTGGTTGAGACACTTTTCACATTTCAGTTCTGGGCTGATGCAAAGATTACTTTGCCAATATCCGTCCTTCCTCCTATTTGTTCCCCTTTCATGCAGCTCACTGATGCCTATTTATAAAAGCACAGTAGCTTTGGTCAGTATTTCCTATTTTTGTTTTTGTTATGACTTAGATCAAAGACATAAACTCAACCTATTCAGTCTCTTTTAGTTTTAGATTTGTTTTGATAATGTGCAGAGAGGTTAGTTAATTAACCTGAGTTAATGCTGTTTTCTGACTGTGCTTCCTGGTTTCTTTGCCTGGCAGTAAAGCCTGACCCTCCCATGAATGTCACGGTGCTGGCCAACAGCAGCGCTCCCAGTCCGCAACTGGAAATAAAATGGGAAAGCCCGCCAGACGCCGATATCAAATCCGGCTGGGTCACCGCAAAATATGAGCTCAGGTTTAAACCAAAAGACAGTAAGGAGTGGAAGGTGAGTTTTTATATGTGACAGATTCCAAATTGGGTTGAGTTGAAGCTGAGAGGTTCACCATGTTTGTTAGTTCGCCAAAATAAGGGCCCTCAAGGTGACGTCTTATAATCATTTACAGAAATGGTCCTTGGGTTTCTGACTAAAGCAGTCACAACAGATTGTAATCAGATATGTTGAAATGTTTTTTTTTTTTTATGTGCAGCTGAGGAGAGAGTTTTCTGTAGGTGACTTTATTTCGCACTGAATTGTCGCTGTTAAAATAGTATTTTAATGCACTGCAGTTCTGCTGTGATTCAGGCTGTTCTGGTAGTATGCAGCTTTAATTCAATCCAGTTTATTTCCAGAGCGCCAATTCACAACATGTGTCGTCTAAAGGCACGTTACAGAAACAATTCAGCCAGATCATACAGTCAGATTGGTTCAAAATTTTCTAAGGAAAACCAGCTGATTGCATCGACTCATTGCCTCTAAAGCAAACCCTCACACCAAGCATGCTTGTAGCGACAGTGGAGAGAAAAACTCTCTTTTAACAGGAAGAAACCTCCAGGCTTCTTTTGGATAATATTTAAACAAAGTAAAATTTCAAAAATAATTAAAATGATGTATGAAATTATTTTTTGTTTTCTCTTTTTTACACAGAGTAGAGGAGTTCAAAAAGAGACTTATGCAAAGCTGCATGTGGATCCCGGGGTCCTCTACATGATTCAGGTGCGCTGTAAGCTAGACCACGGCAACTGGAGTGAGTGGACCAACACCATATTTTCTGAAATCCCTAAACGTAAGTCTTCAAAACTCCCATCCTGCTCCACCTCACACCCATTTGGCTTACTGGTACTGAAAACCTGTTTGTTTTTTTTCCTGTGTTCTTCTTAGTGCCTCTGATTGACAAATCATTGTGGATTCTGGTCTTTGTTTTCTCCTTGATTCCCTTGTTGGCAACTATAGCCATCTTAGTGCTGAAGAGGAAACTGTAAGTAACAGAAAATTTATTTGGTTTAATGTCTCTGCAATTTTAGAACCAAGACCTGATCACAGTATTGGGGTCTGTTGGAATTAAGCTTTGGGTTGTTGCTATTTTCCTGATATCCCTACCTAACCAGCCATACAGGTTTTCTCTCCCTTGCCTCTTTATGAGATGTGACATGTTACCTCAGGTCTTTAAAGTCAGTTAGGCCTTACGGTTAATTAGTTTGGGTTGTCCATTTCTAGGAAGAGTTTCACTTTATGAACATTTTTCTTTACCATAATGGGCATAAAATGACCTTAAATCGCTTCCCAGGTTTATGGGCAGCAACAGTTTATTTTAACACAAACCTGCCTGCTCCCGACCTGCTACCTCTGTAGAGGGAATCATATTTTCCGTTACTTTCTTCCTACATTTAGAAGCAGCTTTGACATTTGGGTGCATCTTTGCTCGATACCTGATAACTAGATCCTATTCTTGTGTGTTTTATTCACAATTTAATCAAGCTTAAAATGGAGAAATTTATCTTAATTATGTAAGATTGATTGCATCAAATGATTTTTTTGTTTTTTCTTTTTCCTCAGTTTGAAGCAGTGGTTCCTACCTCCTGTTCCTGGTCCAAAGATAAGAGGAATTGATGTTCAGCTTCTTAAGGTAAACAACCCCAAAAATAAAAATAAATGAATAAAAAATCCTGTTTCTTTGACCTTTTTAATAATGTACTGATTTAAATTGTTTAGAGTGGCCGATCTGAAGACATTGCAAATGCCCTCATCACCAGCCAAAACTTTCCTCCCATGATAGCGTGGATCGACCAGGTGGAGGACTACTTGTTGGTGTCAGACAGTGACGAATGGCTTATCAATGATCTATATTTATCTCAACAAAAGAAGAAAATCTTCGCTAATGCCAGTGGCTTACACCTTGACTCAGAAATTCCCCGCGGCGAGGTGACCCCTGTAAAGAATGCCCGAGAAAAAGCTGAGGACAGTTTGGATAAAACGGACACGTTTGAAAGCTCCAATGAGCGTGATGTATTACATATGGATCGGACGCAGCTGCCTGTTGAGAAACAGGAATGTGTGAGTGAGGAAAAAGCATCTCTAACAAACGCAAACCAGCCCCTGCCAAACACCTGCTATGTGGATATTCAGCCACGCGAGACGTCCTGGGAAGCTGGAACACAGTCTGACTATAGCAAAGTGAAAGAGGTGAATGGCGAGAGCATCCTCATCTTCAACAACGAAAACATCCTGCAGGAGGTGAACGCGCCTGATGAATACAGCAGGGTCAAAGAGGTGAATAGTGAGGGAGTTTTCCTGCAGAAACATGACTCATCTGACCCCTACTGTAAGAAAAAAGAAGACCAGTACATAGAGTGGATCAGTCAGAAGCCAAAAATGCCTCATGACAGCGAGCTCAACAAAGGCTTCTGCTTGGAAATGATCGGAAATGGATACGTAGATTCTCCTGCTGGTTTTATTGTGAAGTGATCCATTGAGGTGGGACAGTCGGATCTGTCCGGATTAACTGAGTCACTGGGCAGATGATGCAATGTTATCTGATTATTGCTATCGGCAACTAATTGCACGGTGTTGAAAAGGACAGACTTATTTATGGGATGCACCGGCTGCTCTCCACAGTGGAATGTATTTATCTTGACTGAGGAAGAAAAATGAAATTACTTTGACTTTTGAATTTTCCGCTCAAACGATGAAAGTGGTTCAGCTGGACATCTGTGAAATTGTTTTTTTTTTTTTTTTTTTTTAAGAGAAACAAAAAATGTTCTGTTCAAACTCATTCTTTAACCAGAAGAAAAGCATCAGGTCAAAACGACCTACCTGCAAATCTAAAAACCCTTCTACCACCCTCAGCTGCTCCTGAATGTAATTCTTTGTTTAATATAACAGCCTGCTGTCAAGTAAAAGCTTTTAATCAAACTGTAGAGAACTGGTACAGCCTCAAAATGGATCTTCAACACCAAACATTTTAAGCTGAAAAAGAGTCGTAATAAAGGAACTTAATGAATATCGTCTGTTGTTTGTGCTTGTCTATGGTCAAACCTTTTGGGTCTGGTTTATCTGAGAGGTGTGCACCTGATAAACCTGTCTGCCGGGTTTTTTGTTTTCAGACTCGTTGCACTCATTATCGGCAGCGTTAACATGTCCCTCCTGGTAACAAATTCTAATGTGAGAATCTAACATGCTTAGCTTTTATTCTTCCCACTGGATGGGACCACTGTCATTGAAATCTCAAATAAAACAAATCACTCTCACGCTTTGGTTGTCTTCTTCAGAGAGAGTGCTTATTTTGAAAGAAATTCTTCTGATTTAATGTTAATTTGACCCAGACAAGTTTACTTTATGAGATTTTATTTTATTTTTTGTGACTTCAGAGTCATTTATGGCCCAAGTTTGAACTTTCTGGCTGATGTTTTGAGATCTTATTGATATTCCCTTGCTATCCATGCTATGAAGTCAACCAGTTTGGTTTCAATACGGTCGCACCGCAGGATGTCTTCACCTCTGTATAATTTACCCCTTTTTCTTCCAAATCCGAGATTAACCAAACCTTTAAGGTTTAGTTTCATCAGCCATTTATTTCCCAAAAGATTTAGGACATTGTCCCTGATGGACTTCTGAAATGTTAGTGTGTGTTTTTTTTTTGTGATTTTGGGGCATCTTAGAAGCTTAGATTTTCACCTTAGAAGTCTTACAGGGCATGATGGTTTATGACTCGATTCACTTTTGATAATAACACTATTCTACCAGCTTTAGCCAGGAGCTTCTCAAGAGCTTTTGTTTTTTTTCTAGATGCACACATTTTGCACCAAAACGTGTTCTGTGGGGTCTATACCTGCATAGGATTGATTGGACATATAAACGTGGCATCTTCAAACAGGACTATGACGGAGAATTAAGCAGACCCATGGAGGTGGACAGCTTTTCATCCTGATAGCTTTCTGATTTCCCTTTGTTTGCCTTGATGTCACAGAAGGATGTATTTTAAATGTCCGCTGGAGGCTTAAAAAGAGACATACGGAGTGGGCTAAAATTGAATCAGATGTTTGGAATCTGCATATTAGAAGCTTTGGAAGTCATCAAATTGTTATATTGTTTTTCACAAAATATACAATTAATATGAGCTTCTGACCTTTAAAAAGGCATAACATTTTAGCCTTATTATTGATTAGCAAAGAAAAAGTTTACTTTGAAAGACAGATTTATGGCTTTACACAGAAGAGCCCGGTCGTCATGGCGAAGATTCAGCTGTGCACTTCAGGCTCAGGGATAAGAGGCAGTCTTTTGAGGATAATTTGTTCATATATAACAAAAAAACTTCACAGTTAGCTTCCTTCATGTTACAAACCATCACTCATTCAAACCATGACACCAGCAAGGCGTTATTGTTAAGGGGGTCTAGATCTGCAGAGCCTAGATCTGCAGATCTGACTAAAAAGTCTGGAAGTTATCCAAGCTCAGATTTAAGAGAAGCCACCTGAATATTTCCGACCACAAGTTAAGTCCAGTTGGTTTTTCTTTCTCTCTCTTTCTTTTTTGGGGCCTCCTGATCTGGAAACCGAACTTTTTGTATATGTGAATATTTTGTGGAAAAAAAAGAAAAAGATTTTGTGTTGAAACCATTTCACAACTCTTTAAAATATAAGTTGCAAATCCGAAACAAGAAGATATGTAAAACAGGAAAGGATTGTGTCGCTTCATGATCTATACCAAGTGCCAACAGACAAGATTTCATCACTATCGGGGAAGTTAGCACAACGTTTTAAAGATCCACTATCAGCAAAACAACAAAGCTGCAGCATGAGACATGAAGTGTATTTTAAAGCACAAAATCTCCCATTCAAAGAAAAACCTGTACTGTAGTAATACATCAAATCACAAAGCTTGCAGAGGACTAAAACATTAGTATTGAGAAATATTTTGTTATAAGTAGAATTTTTTTCAGTGATGTAAAAAACATGATGCAACTCAGCGTTATGCACTCTGAAGCAGGTTTTGAAACATGTCAGTAATATATATCTATATATGTATAGAATTGTATTTATGTAGAACTATGAACTCAAAATCTAAGCCAAAGCACATTGCAAAGCATGGTAGAAAAGTATCATGCTATGTGGAAGTGTTTTATATTATGGTGTTTGAAGTAGTTACTCAATGTAAATAACAAATGGATAGGAAATCCATTTTTGAAAATGATTTCCCCAAAGACACCAGTATGAAAGCAGCATCTTGGTTTCAAATAGAATAAATTAAATTTGTAGAGTGACCAGCCTAAATCTGAGACTAAATCCAACCAGAAACTTCTGTTCCGTTTGTAAGGCAAAAAATCTCTATCAAAACTTGAACATGTGTGTAGCCCAATTATGAGGCAGGATTACCTGTGAACTGCTACCAGCAACTGTTATCCTGAGTTTACAGATTCTTCATGAATCCCGTTTACTGCACATCTATTTAAAAAAGGCATTATAGCCTCCAACGTTGTGGTCCAAAACAATTCAGAGAATTTATTATCTGCATTTGGGACACTAACTGCTTTGGAAAGGTACTTATTTTCTATTAAACCTTTATTTAAATATATAAAATACCCATTTAGATTAGGACATTTTCTACAAGTATGCAGATTTTGAAAGAAATTGCTTATCTTACTCAGATCAGAGAAATTGCTTAGGTTTACAGAATGGCAGCTGCTCACCTCTGGGCTCACCTCTCAGGATGTGGCTCCGATTAACAGTTAAAAAGGCATTTTATACATCTCCTTTTATACATCATCATATTTTACATTATACACACTAGCAGATGATTAGACATCCATGGCTCCAGCCTAATCAAAATAGGACGCCGCTCTCATTCCATTTCCAAATCTTTGCCAAGTACAAAATGAAGATTATAACCCTAAATCCAGACAGAAGAATTGTCCCAATTAGATTAGAACATCAGTTCAACAGGCAGCCCATACCAGGGTGTGATAAACTCACACATATTTAATGATAATTATCCTAGCAGTTCAAACACGTGGAGCAGATGAATTTGGATAATGGCTTTCTCTAAATAGAGCTTAAACTTTGGATTATTTAAGACAAATTAAATCAAGGAGATGCTTTTATTGTGGCACTGCCAAAAATATTCCAGTGTCTCTGTTTTTGAATTCTCTACCTTGGAACAGGCATGGTCTCTGAAGTTTTAAATTTCTTTTTATAATATATTTAACAGAGCCTGTTTATAAATTAGCAGCAAGAATTCATCATAGAAACAAAAAATCTAGGTCAGGATGGCCTATAACTGATATAAAGCCTCCTTTGATAATGGTGGGATAAGTCTTTCTGTTAAGCTCAAATAAAAGCAACAACAAATAAAGGTTGAAAGGATTTTATTTTTTATTATTATTTTTTTGCTTATCAGATGCCCCTTTTAAAGCTTCCTGGGCCTCATCTAAGCAGAACAAGAGGCTTACTGCTTCCATGTCTCAATGCACTGATGCAATAATTCATTTATGCAAAAATTTTTATTTTTCTGTTGCATTGGTCTAACTATATGGAATATTCAAAACTTATGCAGAACTGAATTTGAGGTTTTGAATCAACATAAAAAAAAAAAAAGAAATATATCACTCTTTAAACAATACGTCTACATAAGCTTCCCATTTTATATTGCTCAGGTACTGTAAGCATGCTCTTTATTGATAATCGAATATTCTGAGATACTTTTGTTCATACATACAGAATACTTAACATTTTTATAACAATGACAGACATTTCTATACTGGTCAAAATTCATTGTAAATCCTACTAAAGGTTAAAACAGAAAAAGGTGACTTTTAGTCAACAGGATCAGGGATTAAGTCTGGAAATGTTTCTCCATTTTCCATGTTCTGCTTCCATGTTTCAGTTTGTTCAGAAAATAAAACAAGGAACATCAGTTTGATACACATTCTTTATTCAAGACAAACCTCGGCTCTGTCACCTGAAATAATCAACTCTAAGGTGTATCCAAAACAGTATTTATAGAAATACATACATGTCATCAGTGAAGAAAGATTAATCAAGGAATATTGCATCTAAATCCTATTTTAGCAGCTTGAACCATATAAACTCACCACAGACACGTGTTTATTTAGCTTTTAGAAAGTGTAGAAAGATGCTCTTCCTTGGAGTATTATCAGAGGAAATAAAATCATATGCAGAATACCTTTCTTAAGCAGAAAGGCTACTGTAATTTAGTATTTAAATAGATTTTCATAATGCAGACACTTTGGGAGCAAATTGATTAAAAGTTTGTTTTTTTCCCCCCAACGATTGGCCAAAGATTCCATCATTACAGTCACCTCTCAGCACCAGGAACTTGGTTTTAATCTCTGCCAATATGTCCTTGAGCACAGCTTTAACTCCAGCTAACTGCATGTAAATTATTTTGCAATTACTAGAATTAGAAAGATTGTCCATAACTTTTATTTGTTTCTAACATTTCAAGTTAGCAGTTTGTGGTAAAGTCCTTTGAAATCAAAAATCATTCAAACAAATAGTGTCGATTAGACACAGCTAAACATCATTGTTCTCATGTTAGAGTAGATCCCAACATGCTTTTTAACCAGATGAGAGGCTGTTTCCCAACTTAAAGTCTGACGCTTTATAATCTTACTCCAATTTTATGAGATGAAGAAATAAAAACTTTAATGAAAGAGTAAATATGCAATTAAGTCCTTTTGTCTCAATCTTACCAACATGTTCTTTCTTAGGTCAAAAAATATTCATCAATGTGGCATCAGTTACCGACGGTAAAATATCAAAGATAAGAAGTGATCTATAAAGGTTTTCTACCAACGGCTAAGAAACTAACCCAAACACCAAGCAACAACAGGAAACAGAGGTCTGGTTAAGATTTTTACTCAAGACTTCAGAAGAATAACTCCAGGTTTGTAAACAGGAGGAATGTGAATTAAGTATTTTCCCTAATAAAAATCATGTTTTGCAGATATCTGGGTTATTATACCCCTCCCTCTGTTCCGCTGTATAGAAGAGAAACTAAATTCATTCTAAACAGTAATGACCTTTTATTCTGTTGTAATTCAAATTTGTAAATACATTTTTCAGTTATTATCCTCTTATATTTGTAATTTTTCCTCTAAGTTATTAATAGTAACATAATTGCATATTTGATCATGATTATCAATTAGAACCCAAGGTTACATTAACTTACCCTCTTTTAACACCATCATCTCAATATTTATTGCTTTCTTAATATTATTTTTCTATGATATTAGAAGATTATCAGGTTAAATTTTTATTCACAATTTTAGTTTTAAAAATTACTTATATTTCTAAAAACAAATTTTTTTTATTTTACACAATAGGTCCTTATCCTTGATTTTCAAACATAAAAAAAAAAAAGATTTAACATCTTGGTGAAAAAAGAAATGTGATCTTTTTTGTTAAGAAATCATACATGATCTTTGCTTAACGGCCCTTGGGGGAAAAAAAAGGAGTGTAAACCAAAACTGTAAACCTGTTCAGCTATTACTAAGCGAAAAAAGGAAAAAAGAAAAATATGTCTTTAAATCCTCTGCCAATGATTCCTATGAAATAACTTTACTAACCTATAAATACTCTTAACCTGAGGTTTAGATGACATCATGCAGAAGCATACACCTCGCACCCATCTGTAAGAGTGGGAAAAGATACGAGATCGTATGCAAACTTATTAAACCAGGAATCAGCTACGAGACATCTGATTCCCGCCTACACCGGCTAATCAGTGATCAGATTAGTAAATAAAAAGTAGATTTAGCCAAAATGGGACTGAAAGTAGCTGGACAAGAACTCATATGTAAAAGTCGTAGTTACAAAGAGGGGGAAGGCTTAAGTGATGCGCTTTGGGACACCAGGTCTCTGTAACAACTATCAAAGCAAGCCAAGCTGTTTGGAAACATTTGAGGGAATAAAATCCCTTTTCTGCCCAATGCTTAAAATATAAACATAAGACTTAAGGTGGATTTGTGCTCTTTGGTCAAGTGAGATTACAATCATTTCCAGCTACAAACAATCCGGTATTAGGTACAGGAGAGAAGAAGTGATGCTGTGGGCTTCACCATATGATCGCAAAATAAAGAAAAACAGAAATGGATTATGCAGGTTTCTGGAGCCATTCTGTAGTTTTCAAAGAGGTTTCAGCCAGTATAAAAGGAGCTGTGTGAATATGCTGGCTTGCTGTTCAAAGCTTGATACCAAGAGCCAAACTAATTCATGTGTTGCATAGACGGTCTGCAAAAACTAAAACTTTAGGAGGAGGATCCGTGCAAACAGATCTCAGCAAGACAGAATCAATATCCTCATTCTTTGAACAGAAATTTCTTTTGGAATAAGAGCAATAAGGACGGTATTTCAATGTAATGAAATTCTAAACTAATACTGAATGAGGAACCTATAGATGTTGATAAATAAATTTTAAAGTAAAACAGCATAATTTAGAGCCATTGCTGACCATACAGCTCCTTTGCAGACTTTTCTCCATGTTTTCACAGGGTTATTCTTCTGGTTTTGAATCACATCCATTGTCTCCTCTTTACAAAACAAAACTTTCCACTGACCTATAAACAATTTATAAACCTGTTATTTAAGATGTTTAAACTTTACAGTTAGTTAACTTTTCAGTTAGTAGATAGTTTTTATGCCCTACTGCACAACCCCCTGGTTTAGAAGGCACTGCTCACTTTAACAACTCACCAGCTTAATTAATAACTAGTTCATAACCATGTTTACTTATTTCTAATTAGAGGTAACCCTTTCAGTTCCTACAACTCATCCAAAAATCAAATATAGCCATTATGTGAAAATGATTGCTTTGCAATATAATGCTGTATCATCAATACAAAAAATACTCAAAAAAAAACAAAAAAAAAAAACACATCCTACACATTCTGCATGAATGGTCACAGTCATGATGGTTCAAAGTTCATAGTGTGAGGCTTTATACCTGCTTCCATCCCTGAAAGAGTTCATGGAATTCATAAATCACACACACACAAAAAAAGAAAACCAAACTAAGGTCTTGTCTGGGTGTAGCCCCTAAATATTTTTTTTTCCTTCTTTTATAGCCGAGGAAACATTCGCTGCAGTCAACTCCTCTCCTCTTCAGGGATTTCTGTACATTCACTGTCCAGGAGCTGCTCCGCATGGCTCAGAAAAGCACGGCTGCTTTCATCCTCCAGAATCTTCTCCCACAATTTAACTGAGAAGAAAATGGAGGCAGTGCGGGATTATTATGAGCCTTGAATCAACAACATTTAACTGGAATAAAAAAATAAATATACACATTTTAAGTGATGCACCCAGAAATTAGATTGGTACCAAAATGAACAGATATTTAAGCTTAGAGGTATAGTGAAGGATTTTTGCAAAATTTTGAAAAGACCCGCCCTCAACAGTTAAAAAAAAAAAAAATAATAATATATATATATATATATATATATATATATATATATAAAAAATAGAATTCCACTTTACTGTCATTACATTGTAACAAGTAAAAAAAAAAAAGAAAAACTAAATTCACTCACTGCATTTAACCATCCCCTTGGGGAGCAGTGGGCTGCCATTGTGCAGTGCCCAGGGAGCAGTGTGGGGTTCAGGGTCTTTGCTCAGGGACCCAGAGTGGCAGTCTGTGGAAGTGGGGCTTGAACTCAGAACCTCTTGGATCCAAGCTCAACTCCCTACCTACTAGGCCACCACTTCTCGTAACCCTGTACCTGCTCCAGAGTGGGAACACCTATTAAACGTGAGAGCATATACTCTCTTTTGCACTCTCTGTTTAAAGGTTGCTGTTTGCATCACTCATACAAGCTTACTTTCCAAATGAAGATTTGCAATTTCTCCACCGGTAAGTGAAAATAGGGACGAGCATGCAAGATGGCCTTACATAAACATATCACCAGAATGATGGACAATTAGAAGGACCACTTATTTTGATGATCCGCCCGGAAAAAGAACATCCTCCAATTTACCTTAAATTGGCCCAGTCAAGTTATAAGCCCGCTGGAATCTGAAAACATTTTAAGTTTTACAGGGAAATCTCCAAATCCAACACACAAGTTCTTTTTACGGGAAAAACTGTTTGGAGCAGAAGTGGAGTTCATACTTAAACTTAGCCAAATTCACTGCCTATAACAGTGCTTAAAATCAAATAAAACGAAACACTTTTATGAATTCTTGCCTAATTCATTTAAGCTGCAAGAAAGAGAGAGAGAGTCCTGTTTAATTGGACATGTGCCATCCCCTCTACCCCCTATGTATGCGGAGAAGGGGGTAAGACTTATATTTTCTATCTCTTTAAATGTTCCTCTTTAAAGATCCATAAATAAGAAGCTGTAACCTACAGTACTGAGGTTTCTCGGACCACCCGGTGTCAGGTCCAGGCTCGGACTCCTCAGACAGGCTGTTTATTTGCTCTGCATTTGCATCATCCTCCGTTTCCAGGCTGGTCAGCATCACTTCGTAGGCTCTCCTGGCCTCAGATGACAATTCAATCATCTTGTGATAAAAGTCCTGTTGGGATTAAAGCAAATCTCTTCATTTAAAAACTATTGAGGCATCTATTATAAATGTTTACTTTAAAAAAAAAAAAGATTTAACATGCACACGTGCCAAAGCTACCCCTGACCTGTGCACCGTCGTAGTTGAAGATGCCCACGAGGCTGACGGGTACAGCCTTGTTGACACAGCGGCCCAACGCTTTCCTGGAAAGTGCGAATACGAACGGCACACCCTGCTCGCGACACATGTTGATGATCGTGTGCAGAACCTCATCCAGTCCACCTGTGAAGGCAATATTTTTTCTATAAACATGCAGTTATAACTCCTTCCAGCTTCGGCAACGGCATGCCTGTCTGGGACTCTCTGCTATCGATGTTTTATTTGTACACATTTATGACGCAGTACCTTTTGTTTCCCTTTAACCTACATCTGAAAACAAAGTTCGTGTCCACATCAAAATGGAAGTGCCACAAAATTACTCACAGGAACGAAAAATCTCTGATCTTGAAAAAAACATAAGAAGAAATCTTAACCAATGCATCAGGTAAGAAAAGGAGAAAAGCCAGAACACAGAATCCTGATTTACTGCAAATGCTGAAATGTAAGGGCCGGTCAGACCCTGGACCAAACTGTGGTCAAGTTGCTTTGCCGCTTCAATGCTTTGGATGCTCAGCGCTCTAGTTGTTTATCTGCTCTTTTCTGTAGCTTCAAGCTAGAGAGCAGCTTGGCTTTCTTTAGGAGTTGGAAAAATAGCTTTGACACATTTATGAGCAAGAAAGTCCACCTCCAAACATCCTCTGTGCAATCAGTTCATCCGGATTATGATCCCACTAAAATACTGTGTGCAGTTCTTGTTCAGAGAGCCAGACACCCCAGCATACCACCGGGAGGCAGAGCTGGACATCCCCGCTCGGAGAGCTCTGCTGCCGGTGTTATGCAGAGAATTATCTCCCCCTCTTGGGAGATGAGAAAACAGATTGAAATATGAACGAAAAAGGGAACTTTTAAACATATTCTTATTATTTTCATATTTCTAATGCATGGATGTTCTGAAATTGAAAGTTGTGGTGGACAGATAAATGCCGAGAATTACCCCCCTGTCGTAGGAGCGAGCGTTGCCCTAAACTCTCTCACACTGATGAGAAAACAGATTTAAATATGAATGAAAAAGGGAACTTTTAAACATATTCTTAATGTTCTTTTCAGAAATTATCTAGAATGGTGTTCATAGCAAAAGAGGGAAATGCCATCCATTGAGTAGAGAACATATTAATCGGACACTGACTATAGCACATTCACTAAAACGTGTCTCTATACAAGTAAAAATCGTATTCGTTAAAATTTATGTGTCCACCAAAACTTTCAATTTAAGGACATCCATGCATAAGAAATATAACAACATTAAGAATATGTTTAAAAGTTCCATTTTCGTTCAGATTTCAATCTGTTTTCTCATCAGTGTGCGAGAGGAGAGGCATTTCTGGGCATAACATCGGCAGCTTGTGGGGGATTTCCTGCTGCCGTTCATAGAGGCTGGAAATTAATAGTATATAGAGTTTTACAGGTTTGTGGTAAAAAGTGCAAGTAGCAGAATATAAAATTTAATATTTTATGTCAGCAGGTTTTACCATTTTAAGTTAATTTGGGTATTTACAAACTTTTTTGCCGTAATTCGTTAAAAATGTTTTAGTGCAGCAATAATGAGTTTGATCTCTTTTCCTTATAGCCTACATAACCATCTATTCTAAGTGCTTTTCTTTATAACCTATAGAGTTTAAGCCTAATATATTTATCTTTCATATGCAGAAGCGACAACAGCCTGCAAATAGTTTCTGTCTCCCCCAAAAAAGCTCCTGGTTCAACTTTTCTTATTGGTTGAGGCTCCGGCGTCCAGCGGCAAAAGTTTAATTTTCAGAACCCCAATATCGAACGCTCAGATGCCTGGACGCCAGAACTCCCGGACGCACCGCTCCAGACACGCTGCTGAACCTCTCGTCGTCATCCCCCACAGACTTTGCATGTAAATTAGACGCCATTAGACTGAACATTTTTCTATTTTTGGCTAATCTGCCAACAAAAAAACCACCAAAGCTACTGATAAGCAGTGATATCCATGAAGGTACCTTTCGACTGGATGCGTTCACAGTTTGGCGAGATGATGACACACTTGACCTTCTTTAGTTTGAGGTGTTTTAGGACCTCTCGAAGGCCCATCACAATCCGCCTCTTCATCCGGGCCTTCATGGGATCCTTCTGGTACAGCCGATCCTGGAAACGGACCAGCTCCTTCAGAAGCAATGTCACGCACTCGTCCAGATCTTTCCTCAACATCTGGCTGCAGTAGCTGACACCCAAATGAGAAGCAAATCATTAGAAAAGCCGTTGATTATTGTCTTTAAAGCTACATACATGGATATGCAGGAAATGTTTGTGCGGCCTCACTCTCTAAACTTCCTGCTGTGAATTTTGGGAACGTTGGTCTGTTGGGGCTCAGAGTCGCTGAGATCTTGCTGATTACCAGCATCTTTTTCTGTGTCTTCATCGGCCTCTTGTGTTTCAGGGTTTGTACCGTTTAAATTCAGCTGTTCATCAAATTCTTGTGAGAAACTCTGAATCTCTTCTGAAAAAGACAAGCATAATAAAGGAAAAATTACTCAGTAAAGCTAAACTCAAACTCCTCCAAAAGTAAGTTTACTTCCAACCTGGGTCATTTGAGTCGTTCTGCTCCTCTGTAGCATCGTTAGCAACTTCAGAATCATTTTCAGGCAGCAGTCCTCTCTCCTCTAGCAGACGTCTCTGTTTTCTCTCTTCCCTTTCTTTTAAAATGACCTGAATTTCCGAGAATATAAAAAACGTTTTATAACTAATAGAATTTAGCACCTGAAAACCATATTTTAAAAAAAAAGCATTAGTAACTTTTTTTTATAGTCATGTAAAATCCAACTGACTATGATTAAATAATTTTTATATACTCCAAGAGTCTGTCCAAATGGAGCTCTGATAGTCATCTTTGAGCCTAAATAGAAAGCTAGCACTGGGCACTATTAGTCGACATAGACCACCATGGCGCCATCTACAGGCAACACAGTTGAACTAACAGAAAGCCGGATAGTGACCCATGACGCAGTTACTAAATAAGTGACGACCGTGCTGCAAAGCCTTGTGGGAAAACAGATGGCAGAGGATAGGGATCAAAAGCATTGCTAATTAAATTAGCACAATTAGCAAGTACATGTACTCAAGTGTCTCTGAATGTTAACTCTAGCTTCATACATTTTTTTTTTTTTTTATTTCAGCATCCTGCTGGTGTGGTATTTATATTTGCCTTTTAAGGTTTGCTTTTTGCTTAATTCGCTATTAAATATAGACTTATAAACTTATAACATCCTGAGGCGTGTGGGTAAGGAACTCCCAGCAGTATAAAAAAATATTTAAAAAAAAGAGAAAATAGAAGTCCAAGATCAAGTGTAAAAAGGTACCAGGTGTTTCCAGGAGGGATAAAGCTTGGGTTGTGCTGGTTAAACAGTTTGACTGTTGCTGTGAAGTTCAGAAACATTTGAGTACATGCTAATAGTGCTAATTTTGTTAGCAATAGTTTTAATCCCCATTCTCTGCCGTCTGTTAGACATAAATATAACCGTCAGGAGCTACAAACAGAGACCTGATCTAAGAAGATTAGTGCAGCTCACCTTCTTCAGTGGAGTAGGCTTCTTGGCTTTAGGCACTTCTCTTTGCTTTCCTTTTTTAACTAAAGGGCTGGTAGAGTCAAGTGGATTGTGTGCAATTTTATCCTGTTGCCAGGGTGATTTTTTGACAGCCGCCGTCTGCTTCTGGACCACTGGTAGTCCTCCACCAACTACAACAAAGAAAATACAGCTTAATCGTGTTTTTAAACCCTGTTATGAAAAGTCTTGTGTTTGGGGTTAGCCAATGACCAACCAGAGAGAATGACCGGCTTTGTGTCCTGCTTCGATTTTTGAGTCTGTTGCTTTTTTTCCAAGACGGCCAACATGTTACCGATGTCCAGCTGGACAGGGGCCTTGCTTTTTTTCCCCGACACTTTCTCTGCTTTCTAAATAAAAATTTAAAAAAATCAGGGCTAGATAATAGAAACAGAGCCGAACTAAATCAAACCATATGAGACTTTTTGTTCCTTATTTCCATGCACATGCATTAAAAACACACTACCTCATTGCATAGCTTTGTTCTGCTGCTGGTTGATAATTTTTCAACCCCAGTTAAACTCAGTGCCAAGTCAGGAAATTCTTCTGCATCCTAGAAAAAAAAAAAAAAAAAAAATATATATATATATTCTCTAGGTTATTAGAAGCAGTTTAATATTAGAAGATTTACCTCAAGCTTTGGAGGCTCATAATGAAACGGGCTCTCTGATTCTGGTTCTGCATCTTCAGCGTTGCTTTTGGATTTCTTTTTCCGCTTTCGCTTTTTCTTTCCTGCAGTTCCCTCCTCTTTAGGGGCAGTGATGTCTTTTGTCTAAAATACAATACAACAATCAAAATGTTCCTCTAAAAATTAAAAAGTATGTATCCTTCAGAAAGACATACAGAGATTTTTAAAAAACAAAATAAATAAGACTGGGTTTTATTAGTTTAGCAAAGCTGCAGAAAATTAATAGTGGGGCCAGAATATTCAATTTCTTAGTAATTGTAAAAAACAAGCAACATATATGCAAAACTTTTTTTTCCCACACAACACAAGGAATGCCTTTTTAACTAGAGATCAATTATGGTAGCATCATATTAATGCAATTATGATCCAAATAAAAATGTTTCAGCCATTAAAAAAGGTCATACAGCATTAGGTAGGTTGGACGAATCTATCAACCACCAACGATAGAGAAATTATTTTGTTTCTTTTTGGAACCTACGGGTTAAGACGCAGCCAACGAAAAAAAAAAAATACTTTTTTTATTGGTACACAAAAACTCCTTCCAGCTGCAGCTTTTTTCCCCAGTGCCACCGTGCAGCAGTGATTTATCAACATAAACCTGAGAAGGAAGGAAAGAACTGATCCACACCAGAGACTGGTTTTTGTTGCCTTTATACAGCCGAACCAGAGAGAGGCAGTTTTTACTTTTTTTTTTTTTTTTTTATTACGGATTGGATTTTCAACACAAAAACATTAGGCAAAAAAAAATGTTTATTAAATTAAAGAAAAAAATTTATATATATATATATAAAGAATATTCGCTCCTCCAGTGAAGTTAAAAATCTCTGCCCATTTTCAGTCTGTTTTATTTTGTGCCTTCAGAGAAACGAAAGAAGAATAAAAAAAAAATATAATGTCTAGAAAAGAGGAAACTATTCCAATGGATGAAACAACAGAAAAGAGAAATTTTTACCTTATTGCGTTTTAGCAGCATGTGCTGGTGGTTAACAATATTACTAGCAGTGCAGAAGATGCACTCTGAGGGCGTGCTTGACTTTCTCACAAAGTCACCTACACTCACATATCGTCCATAGCCATTTGTTAGAAAATATCACCCAACCTTAATGCACAGTGTTCTATTTGCTGTGAAAATTCATAAAGGTTTAACTTTATACACATACTCACCACTAATTCACAGCTATATTGAGATAAAGTCCCTCTTGAAGTTGCACAATTTTGGGGAAGGTATCAACAAGCTTCTGACAGTACATTTGTTCTCTTTTCTGAGCAGATTTGATCATTTAATCAGATTCCTAGCATAGAAAAATCTAGGTGTAGATTAATGAAATCGTTAATAGAGTTGAAGTCTACTGCCTCTGGGAAACCATTTACAGAGACTACTGTAAGCCTCCAATTAAACAATCTTTTATTAGAAATTTACCATCATTACATGACAGAAATTGTTTAGGATGTTTGGAAACAAACTTGAACCGCCGATACACTAAAAAAAAAAAAAAGCTTTTTACAACTGTCCACATGGAGCAGAAAACCATGGACAGACTAGAGAGAGATTGAACTTTTCTGCCTCTTTGAAAAGAACTGTGTTTTTACAGGAGTTAAGATGAAGCGTTTCAGAACACTGCACCAGGAGGTGCAATGAAGAAGGAGAAAGCACCTCTAAATTCTTTCACTTCACCTTAACATCAACAGCTGGATTGTTATAAGAAACACTCCAGAACTGGTTTTGGTATAAATTAGGCAGGCTAACAGTTAAGTAGCCCCCAAATCCACCGAAAACTGCTGGATGCTGCTTAAAAAAAAAAAAAAAAAAGTTTGTTCAACACAAGGGAGCAAAGCAATGGAAAGAAATTAAGCCATTTCTGATGTGGTCAGCTGTCCAAGGAGATTGATGCCCAAGTGAGTTGTTTTTTTGCAGCTTACTAAGGGACATTCGTCCAAATATCAGTAAATATATCTGAGCCTGTACGTTTTCTTGTTTCTTTTCTGATTACAGAAAAATCCTAACATCAAACTTGTACAACCAATGTTACATTTTGTCGTACATCCACCCTGATGCAGCGATCTGTTAGAAGATCACACCCCAAAAACCATGATGCTACGCCATGATTGGGGCAAAAACCCAACAGAACACAAACTGATGAGCAATGGTCTCTTATGTTTCTGCTACAAACACTCTCCCCATTCCTTGATACTGAACTTTCCATAATCGCGATTCTGTTGTGTAGATCATTATACAACCCAGAAGACCTAGGGAGTTTCTGGCTGAATAACTTCAAGCAAAACTCCCAAATGATTCACTTTGAAATGTCCTAAACATAAAGAAAAAGACAAAGAGGGAAACCTTTTAGATTAAGAATTAAAACAGAAAAAAAAAAAAACAATACCTGCAAGTCACTGTGGTTTGTTTTCCTGTCGGTAACATCAGGTTTCTTGGGGGGCTGAGAGGCAATGTTGGCCCATGATGTGATCACTGGCTGATCTGTTCACAAAGAAAGATGTTTCTGACTTATTAAAAATGACTGATGTTGCTGTTCAAAGGCTATTACACCAAATACCTGCTGGGTTAAGAGGGCTGGTGTTTTGCAAGGAGCTAAGCTCTGCTGGAGCCTCATTTCTGCCAGCCTGTGTGATACAATAAAAACAGCTCAATGTAAAGCTAGATTTAAGCCATCAGTACAGCAGACATGTATAAGTTTGACTTTTCATCATATCCAATTTAGAAACAGTAACCATACAGAAACTAACCCTCCAGGAAGTCCTCTCAGTTTGTGGATTTTTGCAGTGAGGACTTGGACCCCAGCGGTCTTTTGGCGCTCCAGCACAGGACGCTGTTTTCTGCAAATCGCTGGCTAACTCTGGAAAATCCACCATCTTGACTTCAAACGGGACAAAATCTGCCTGCGCTGGTGTGGAGTTCCTTCCAGAGGCTGGGGCTGACCTGGCATGTCTGACACCTGAAGAGGATAAAAGTAAGCATGAAGGAAAAATGCACACAAATAATGATTTATGTATAACAATAGCATATATGAAAAACATAAAGTATCTACTAAATGAGCAAATTGCTGATTGTAATTCACTTTAACATACACCAACATTGCATTATTCAACTTTGGTGGCAATGCATGATGATCTTTACTTTATCTCTCACCCTAAGACTGTATGATCTGGTGAACTGTGAAGTGCCTTGAGATGACATGTGTTGTGAATTGGTACAATATGAATAAACTGAACTGATCTATCATACTTCCTTTATTCAAGGACTGTAGTTAAGTAGCAAAGAAATAGGGAAATTATTTTCAAAATTTAAGAATTTTATCTGATTTTTAACATACAATGAATCCAAATTTTGAGTAGCAATTCCGCAGGGTTTATACAATTCATCATTAGGTAGATGGCTGCTCAGTTGCGCAGTGGGTAGCCCTGCTGCCTAGCAGCAAGAAGGTTCTGGGTTCAATACCCGGTCCAGGGTCTTTCTGCATGGAGTTTGCATGTTCTCCCTGAGCATCTGGTGTTGTCTCCGGGTACTCCAGCTTCCTCCCACAGTTCAAAAACATGACTGTTAGGTTAATTGGCTTTCTAATCACTCCTGATCTTCCTACCTTGCATTGAGTAGCATCTACATCTACTGAAATCAACGATAGCTACCTTTTTTCTGTGCATCCATTGAGTTTTTGCCCCCGTGTCTGCCCTGTGGTTCATTGCTGCTTTTTGAAGCCTATAAAGACAAAATGATTGAAATCTTTTTCAGGGATTACACTTATCTCCCTTCCTGTTCAGAGTAAAAGGAAAATAAGATAAGAAACCTTAAATTGTGGATCCCAAATAGGCTTATCTCTGTAACTGGCCTCTTTAACAGGACGTCTGCTGCTGAAGCCCTGACTTCTGGAAGCATCTTCCCCCTTTCCTGCTTTTTTTTGGCTCAGATCTGTCCAATTCCTAAATAAAAAACACGATTTTAAAGTGGATATAAGATCAAGAGTCGAGTTACGATAAGGATGGTCACTCCCGATCTTCGTACCTTGCAGAAGTGAGGTTGGACACATAAGGATTTGGTAAGATTAGGGGAGGAGCTGCAGCTGAGGAAGGATCAGGAGTCCGACTCATTCGTTTCATCTGGTGTTTTGGACCCAAAGCCCGAGGAGAAACAGCAGCAAAAGTCGGGTTGCTCTCCTTGAAAACATAAAGATGTCAAAAACAAGCTTAAAAAAGGGAGAAAGTATTAAACAATTATGTAACAGGAAATTATTATTACGACAGACAAGTAAATCTTGTGCTCTGTTTGACAGTTGTATGCTGCTCAAGCTATAAGAAATCACCTTATCGGTATTCAAATACTCGTCTTACATTATCAGTTAACATCCTTTTTTTATTATTAACAACTGTTACCGTTGTGGCTTAAAAGCTTTGTCGCAAACATTGTCACGAGTTAGCTTATCGGCTAGCAAAACAGACCGTTATAATCCATTTTTTCGTTCATTACCTTCTCCATTGTCAGGGTTTTTTGGATGCTGTCACATATTCGTGTTTCCACATGAGTCTCAGAGTGTTGTCAAAGTCCGCCCCACGATGAAACCTTCACTCCGTTAATCATGAACAACCTGTTTGATAGCTTAGCATGAGACGCAGCAGTTAGCTAAATGTAGCGAGGATGTGTCTGTTTACTTCTTCTTCTTCTTATGAGATTTTATGGCGGTTGGCAGACATGTGAATTGTGCATTACCGCCACCAACTGATATGGAGTAAAGCAAGAAAACAGGAAACGATTCACCCCCCCCCCCCCCCCCCCCAAAAAAAAAAAAAAAAAAAAAACCTGTGTAACTTAAACCAACATAATACTAAATCACATTTGCCCATATAATTTTAATTTACTCTAGGTCATCGTAATTCTGCCAGTTTCTGATGGTCCCATCGGTCCTCCCATCATGCTTCCAACCATCTCCCAGTTCAAATCTTTAATGTCCAGATATTTTTCTGTAGCCTTCACTATTATTTTGATTTTTTCAGTTTTTTTTGTTGTCTGTGCAGTACAATTAATCACTTCTACCATGAAAAGAACAAAATTTGTCTTTTTAACAATTAGTGAGTCTTCATCAATTTTTGGAGATTTCTCTAGAGGTTTGGAATTTGCTGTGTGTTGAACTGTAGGTTTGGGTTTTTCTGACTGAGATGGGATCCTTTTTGCAGCTTCAGCGTAGGTTATTCCGAGCTCAAATTTCATTTTTTTTAATTTCCTCAGACCTTTTGCTTGCTTCACAGCCGCGATAAGCAGCAGTATGTTCTCCACCACAATTACAGAATTTTATTTTAGCTTCTTTTCCACATTTTCCGTACTCATGTTCTCCTGCACACCTTCCACACCTCTGTTTCCCTTTACAAACTGCTGCAATGTGACCGAATTTTTGGCATTTGAAACATCTCAATGGTGGAGGATTGTAGATTTTGACATTATAGCTTATGTAACCGATGAATACTTTGCTTGGTAATTGCTCTTCTTCGAATTTAATTAACACCGATAAACTGTCAGATCTTTCTCCGTTTCTTGTTGTTTTTAACCGTTTTACTTCTTTTACTTTTGCACCGCTTATGTTTTCCAGAATCTCTTTTTCAGAAATTTTTAGAGGAACTCCTCCAATGACTCCCCTGCTGATCTTTTTGTTCTCCATTAGGCTGCACTGAACTCTTATCCCGTCAATTTTGTTAATACGTATTGCTTTGCCTTGCTGGGCGCTGTCTCTGCAGTTAATTAGCAGGTCTCCACTGTACAGAATTCTGGCACCTCTTACTTCTCCGACAAGTTTATTGATGGTTTTTGTTAAGTGAACCGGATTCCAATTTGTAAAAGAGTCTGCCTGATTAACGACTTTGAATATGACTTTGAATTCATTTTGTTGTGCTGTGGAATGTATGGATTGATCATCACTGGATTGTTCTGAACTAGATTCCCCTTTAACTGATCTCTGTTTTTTCCGCTTTTTCTCATTTTTTGATGTTGCTATCTTCCAACCTTCATTGTCACTATTTCCTTCTTCCATCCCACAAGAATCGCTTCCTGTTTCCTCACTACTCACGGCACAGGACATCTCTCCACAAGCAGCTTCAAAACACGCGCCATGCACCACCGGCCTGGTTCCTTCTGAACTCCAAAGATCAGCTTCTCCTTCTTCTTCTTCTTATGAGATTTTATGGCGGTTGGCAAACTTGTGAAATGTGCATTACCGCCACCAACTGATATGGAGTAAAGCAAGGAAACAGGAAACGATTCACCCCCCCCAAAAAAAAAAAAAAAAAAAAAAAAAAAAAAAATACAATAAAATAACCTGTGTAACTTAAACCCACATAATACTAAATTATACTAAATTACATTTGCCCGTATAATTTTAATTTACTCTAGGTCATCGTACCTCTGCCAGTTTCTGATGGTCCCATTGGTCTTTCCATCATGCTTCCAACCATCTCCCAGTTCATATCTTTAACATCCAGATATTTTTCTGCAGCCTTCACTATTATTTTGATTTTTTCTGTTTTTTTTGTCGTCTGAGCAGTACAATTAATCACTTCCACCATGAAAAGAACAAAATTTGTCTTTTTAACAATTAGTGAGTCTTCATCAATTTTTGGAGATTTCTCTAGAGGTTTGAAATTTGCCGTGTGTTGAACTGTAGGTTTGGGTTTTTCTGACTGAGATGGGATCCTTTTTGCAGCTTCAGCATAAGTTATTCCAAGCTCAAATTTCATTTTTTTTATTTCTTCAGACCTTTTGCTTGCTTCACAGCCGCGATAAGCAGCAGTATGTTCTCCACCACAATTACAGCATTTTATTTTAGCTTCTTTTCCACATTTACCATATTCATGTTCTCCTGCACACCTTCCACACCTCTGTTTCCCTTTACAAACTGCTGCAATGTGTCCGAATTTTTGACATTTGAAACATCTCAATGGTGGTGGATTGTAGATTTTGACATTGTAACTGATGTAACCGATGAATACTTTGCTTGGTAATTGCTCTTCCTCGAATTTAATTAGTACAGATAAACTGTCAGATCTTTCTCCGTTTCTTGTTGTTTTTAACCGTTTTACTTCTTTTACTTTTGCACCGCTTATGTTTTCCAGAATCTCTTTTTCAGAAATTTTCAGAGGAACTCCTCCAATGACTCCCCTGCTGATCTTTTTGTTCTCCATTAGGCTGCACTGAACTCTTATCCCGTCAATTTTGTTAATACGTATTGCTTTGCCTTGCTGGGCGCTGTCTCTGCAGTTAATTAGCAGGTCTCCACTGTACAGAATTCTGGCACCTCTGACTTCTCCAACAAGTTTATTGATGGTTTTTGTTAAGTGAACCGGATTCCAGTTTGTAAAAGAGTCTGCCTGATTAACGACTTTGAATATGACTTTGAATTCATTTTGTTGTGCTGTGGAATGTATGGATTGATCATCACTGGATTGTTCTGAACTAGATTCCCCTTTAACTGATCTCTGTTTTTTCCGCTTTTTCTCATTTTTTGATGCTGCTATCTTCCAACCTTCATTGTCACTATTTCCCTCTTCCATCCCACAAGAATCGCTTCCTGTTTCCTCACTACTCACGGCCCAGGACATTTCTCCACAAGCAGAGCAGCTTCAAAACACGCGCCATGCACCAAACGACCAACGTACACCGATCAGCTTCTCCTTTCACTTCCTTCTCTAGAACTACGTCGGCGTCTGACCGATGTGTCTGTCGCGGCGGAGCCGACTTTATGGGCTGGCTCTTTTGCATGAACGATGTGAACCGGATCCCGTTCAAGTTCATTTTGTGTAATTTGTTCACACGTGCTTTATGTTATTTTCTACCCCCTGGGTGCCAAAAGATCGAGGCATTGATGATGTTAGGGAATAAAGAAATAATAATAGACACACCAAAACTTAATTGGGCATAAATTAATGCTCTGTAATGTTTTGGATGTAACTCTTACAGAGGCGTATCCAGGCAATAACCAATGTGAGGGGTGGCTAAAAGCGGTAAGGCGCCAGAACCTCAGGGTCAAACCAAAGATAAGACAAACTACACTTTCCTACAGCTTTTGCTAACAGAGACGCATATATTTAAACATCCCTGCTTTCTAAATAAAATGTATATAAAATACAATTATTTCAGATTTGAGTTCTGGGTCAAAAATTTGTTCTTATTGTCATTACTTACCTGCTTGTATCAATAGTCATTCTGCATAGAACTGATATTTACAAGTACTAATATCTACATAAATTGATTATTTGATACGTTTCTATTAAAATAGTTATTTATAATTTTACTGAAGATTCATAGATGATGTGCAGAGACACATAATTTTCTCTTTACCCCATGAAACACAAAATCTAGTTCTGAAAAGAGCATGAATTCTGTACTTATCATTTTTAATGTTAGTAAATTGATGTGTATAATTAACCACAGAGTTTTTGTTGTCATGTAATTATGAATAAATGAGAAAATAGAAATCATTATATGAAAAATTTAAATGTATTCAATATTCCACTTGAGAATATTACTGCTGCCACCATCTCTATTAGAGGGAAAAAAAATGTTAGGGGTGGCCAATGATTGGCTAAGGGTGGCCATGGCCACCCCTGGCGCCCCATCTAGCTCCGCCCCTGAACTCTTAGACAGACTTTATTGTCATTTTGTACACCTTGGGTGTATACAAAACAAAATTTCATTCAGTACAGCTCTCAACGCATTTCCATTACCTAAAGTGCAGCAGTGACAGTAAACACGGTGATCAAATGTCAAATACAACATTCAGCTGTCTAATGGAAGTGGGGAAGAAGCTGTTGTGGAATCTGCTGGACCTGCATTGAATGCTGCGAAGTGGGCTCCAAGTCTACAAAAACACTCTAGGGACATGTTTTCCTGCTCCAGTCTCACTGTAGAGGTGCTTAAAAGAGTCATCTTTTCCATCCGGTGCTCTTGGCAGGTCCGTTCAAAAAAAGATTTGTGTTAATGGCTTTTAGGACAAAAATAATGAAAAATAATCATACCATTTATTAGTGTTGTGCCAATACCATTTTTTTGGCCCCGATCCCCTATACCTGGCTGTGCAATATTGGCCAATACCGATACCATCTGTTTGAAATTGATGTGTGTGTATATATGAAGAACTGCATACTACTTGGATCTAGAATAATTGCCATCATGGCTTTGTCAAGCTGCTGACTACCTTTGTGAAGCAGGAAAAAGACTAATAAAGTGAATCCAGTAGAACTTTTTATTGCCTACCTGAAATGGGTTACAATAGTTGAATAAACTTTTTGCTCTTAAAATGGTATCTGTGCCCTATTTGTTGGTACTCAGCGACAACGATAACCATTTTAGTGCTGGATCGGGGCCCTGTCCGATACTGGTATCGGTGCAACAAAACCATTTATCCCGTTTTTTTATGTTCATGTCTGCACATAATATACTGTAGTCTTTTTATGTGATAATGATCACTTTACAGATATATTAATTAGTTCAACTAAGCTAATAATTTTTAAAGCAGTCCCTTTTGGAGTGATACATGCTAAGAACAGATGTTTTCAACAAGGTCAGATATACTACTGATTTATTGCTCGTGTCATCTTTTAATATATACAGAAATTAATCTTTTAAATAGACCAAATTGTACATGTCAGTTGGAGTAGATGTGAATTAATCTGTTTCAATGGTAAATTGAGGAGACTTTGGAAGATTTTACACTATATTTAATCTTTTATTCATTCATGCACACTTTCATATTCATAGACCAAGCACCAGAGCTCCACTTAAAATCTCATCATGACTTTGGGAGATATTATCAATACAATGAGAAAAGTTTTACATTATTACAATTACACTTTTTTAAAACAAAAACATAACTTTTTTGCAGTATTTCTTAGGTAACTATGACTTGAATGCCGCTTTTTCAGGACACCATTTATATTAAAAGTATGATTTATGTCACCAAACATCTCTTAGTAACCCAATATAATTCTGTTCTTCAAATCTATCAATGGCCCAATGGGAAAATAATTAAGAAAACTATATTAAAAATAAAAATTCTGAAAATTTATTTAGATTTTTGACCATTATCGATTCTAATTTCTCGTTTAGACGATAAATCAAAATTATTAGCATGACTAGAAACTTACTTTTCATGGTGACCAATGCGTACATTTTTACTGACAAATTGATCCAAAGGGTTCAATGGAGCGTCCCATCGGGGTGCTACAAACGGCTCAACACCGACATCTTGTGGCAATGGAACGAAAATACATGAACTTATGAAAAAGTTGAACTTCCTGCCAAAAGGTTAGGCTATTTCTGAGCGGATCAGTAGTAGAATATGTAAAGTTTAGAAAAAGATGTTTCACAGTTATTGAATGGGTAAATACATGTCCATAGCTGTATAATGACAGGTGCACAGTTTTTATATTGTTAAAACACGTTACAGTAGAGTATTTTATTGTTTATCTTTTACTTTTTCACTATTATGTTATTCTTATACATTTTTCTAAGGTCCATATTTCTGTGAAAAAATTTTTCTACTATCTTTTTGCTGCTGAAAACACCAGAATTTCCCCATTGTGGGATAATAAATGGATTTCCTTTTCTATTTTATTCTATTCTATTCTGCATTCATCCACAGTCATGAACATATGTACAGTTTTTTAATCTGCTCAGGAAGCAGAGTAGGTGACTAGTTACATTTACTTGATTCAATTTGAGAGAATGTTTTATTTTTTAAGAGTAGTGTTACTTTACCCTACTTTTTAGTTACTTAAGTAATAGTATTGTAAGAGCATCTCTGCTCTTACTTAAGTAACTTTTCTGGTGACTCCACTCCCTACAATGTCCATTTGGAGAGAAGTTAAATATACAGTAAATGGAATTGATGCTGGAAGTTCTTTATCCTTTTCAAACATATATCTACTGCCTCTACACGTTTATGCTAAAAGACATTTATGTGAAAAAGTGTTTCTTCTGCACATAGTTATTTTGTAATCATATTATCTGTATTATTGTATACTTTGAAATGCCAGAATTTCAATGATAATAATTTTTTTTTTATTTTCAAGGTTTTAAACATTTTATCAGAAGTTACGAGCCAACAGTTGCTCTGTACCTGAGAAGTCATTTTACCAATACTCTTCACTTTTGATCAATTTCTTGGATGACTATTTTCTACTTTTACATGAATAAAAAAATGTTAAAGTAGATTGGTTCATTGATTGACTTTATTGATCTCACAGTGGATAAATTTACTCATTACATCAGCTCAAATAGTCAAAGGAGAAGAATGTGCCAAAGAAAGAAAAAGGTGCATGGGATATATACAGTATATACAGTGCTTCCCTTGTCAGTGTTGTAGGTGAAGTAGGTGTTATAGAATTACTCTTACTTGATTAATTTTTGGGGGGTAAATTCCCACCTGTCTGGAAGAGGTTTGTTTTACTATGATGGTTATTTCAGTTTAATTTATCGTTCTTAAAACCTGATGCTAATTTTACTTCTCTTTAACCTAAACTTTTCTATTTCCCAAATACTGTAGGTCCTTCTATTCAAATAAGTATTTTCTAGGTAGATATTAGAAAAGTCTCAATTGTACAAGAGATTGTTAACATATATTGTGAATTTTTGGTTAAATAAAAGTTTAAACAATATAATAATAACCCAATATTTTTCCTCTTGTAAATGTGTTTATCTCTCCTTCAGCTTAACATCTCGTTCTTTTCGTAATTTTAGTCTTTTTTAAAACATCTCTACACGTTTGTACCAATGTCAATGTAGGAAAAGAGTTTCCCATTAAATAAAATCTCTTTAGGGATACCCTGATGGTAAATTTGATGCTTAGTCCTGTAAATCTTTTGTTAGACTTGGACAGATTTATTTGTCATTTTGTTGTGTAAAACAAAAAGAAAATTTGTTTGGAACAGCTTTCTGGACAATTTCATCTTTTTTTCTTTTTCTTCTGGCATTTAATGAATTCAGTTTAACACATTAAACTTCCCTTTTTTACTGAAAATTGTATTTGTATAAAACTTAATGTGGAAGAGTATTAATCAGAAAACTATGATGTAAAGAAACGGTGTAGCAATAGAAATGGTTTGAAAAGTACAATTTTACTTACGTTTTTTTTTTTATTAACTCTGGTGATAAGCATAGAAATCATTTTGACAAAAGCATTACAGTAGATTTTTACCCCCAAATTAAAAAAAAAAAAAAACTCCTTCAAAGACAGGAAACGTATAATGTTGGCTAATAAAACAATACATCTGTATGACTGGTAAAATGCTCCATTATAAAAAGAGGCTGAAACTCAGCAAGCATAAATACGATTTGTAATCACTATAATGTGTTTTATAAAAAGGAGATTTCTTCATGTGCAAACATACAGCATTGTTTCCTACTTAATACTAAAAAATACTCTGTACCTTCTTCAATATTGGGGCATACATTTGGTCTTTTTGCATTGTTTTGTTTCACATGAATATCTTCAGACAAAGGCACCGAGGGTAAATATGACATAGCGGCTTTCTAAAAATGTAAAAACATAGTGCTTGTTCCCCTGGATATAAGTAAACAACATAGTATCTGTACAAGGCAGCAGAACTAGGATCTTTTAAAAATATTATTCTCAGTCCTTCTGCAGCTCATTCCTCCTTTAACCTCCGGGCTTTGCTCAAGAGAAGAAGAGGAACCACAAAGGAGGCTGATGTGATGAGGAAACAGGTCTGTGCTCCTGCAATCCAGTAAACTGGGGGGGAGACAGAAAAAGAGGAATAAACATGTAAGATAAATAGAAAAACAACAAAGGTAGAGCTACTTAAAATACGGTAATTCCTGTTTCCCAGGATACAGAAATCCTATATCTGACGCCAAATCCAAGTCTTTAAAGCTTAGCAGGCCATTATTTTCTCCATTAATATACACATACCAGAGGATGACATCACTGGTCCAAATGCTCTTGCCAGTGCACCCAAACTGCGCAGGATCCCCATCACTGTACCCTTCTGATTAGCTGAACCTGATCAAACATCAAAGACAAAGAAAATCAACATCAGAGATCTGAAAGTACGAGAAGCATTGGTGAGGGAAAAGAGAGGAGACTCACCATGATCAGCAACAAGGGTCGACAGGCAGGGAACTACAATTGCTGCAGCTGTAACAAGAATATATAAAAAAAATGTAAATTAGCCAATCAATAAATGACATAAAGATTAACATTTTCATTAGTCTGCCTGGCTGTTTCCTAGATGAAGCTGGTTGACATTTGCCTTTTTTTTAATCTTTGCTTCTTTGTGTATCTCTGCTTCTGTCTCCTTGAACCCCAGTCGGCCTCAGGAGATGGCTGCTCACACTGAGTCTGGTTCTGCAGGAGGTTCCTTCATGTTAAAATCAAGTTTTTCCTCTCCACTGTTGCTATAAGCATGCTTAGTGTTAGGGATTGAATTCAAGTCAACGATTCTGGTTTTCCTTAGATAGAAAACTTTTAATCATTTTGACTTTATGATCCTTTTGAATTCCCTCCTTAAAGTGCCTGAGACTACATGTGTCATGAATTGGTCCTGTATAAATAAACTGAATTGAATTGAATTAGCTTACGAATCTTTTCATTTATTATGTGGTTTGGATCCAAATAAGGCCAACCAAACTTTAAAAGACAGACAGAAGTATTCATCTAAAAATTCTCATCTCTCTTGTGTCCATAGGGATCAATCTTTTGACAGGCTCTTTAAGCTCATATTTGCTTCTATTTTGTTGAACTTTTAAAAGAGCATGGTAGAGAATTTCACCGCTAGGTGGTTGACTCACACACTTCCATCCAATAAAGAAAGCAGGAATCCTTTGAGTACCATGTTTTAAGTGTTTCAATATTTTAGGGGATGGATGGCTCCAAAAAAAAGCTCCAAAAACTCTGTAAGCTCCAAAAAAAAAAAAAGAAAACGGACAGTTATCTAATTCCAAATTTTAACTTTTCAGAGAAGATAAGTTAATTTATTTCATAATTTGTATAGTTAGTAGTAATATGGTGGCCACAGATCCTTATTTACCCCACACACACTGCAGCACACACACATACAAGCATGCCATGATTTCTTTAATGTACCAGTAGACTTATTTGAGGGGAAACTTTTTATAAATAAAAATATGGGTGAGATGAGATCCATCAGAGCGACCGTCTTATCATTGCATCCCCACACCGCCTCGAGGAGAAACGGGTTTGTGCATACTCTAAGATAAATTGTGTCCTTAAATGTGGCCATTTCCAGCAATGAAGGACTATGAAGATGGATCCTTTTCTTTTTTTTTGTGTTTACACTCATCCCACCAGGACAATTTTGGTTTAGTTTTTTGATGAAGTTTCTATTGGTCAACATTTGATATAAAATATTAATGCATTACTTTTAACTGGAAATATGACCAAATTAATATCTTACTGCTTTCTTTATGCAGGTTTTTTTAAAGCAATTCTAATTTTTAGATTGCTTTTAAATCTCTAAATGGAAAAGTGCCTAACCACCCCACTAACGTCAAAACTCTACATACTTTCTGGCGATAAAGAATAACTACTTGTTCCCACTTGGACTTTGCAGAATCTGCTTCTTAAACTGTATCATGTACTGTTAGACGTTTTAGCAAATAGCAAATCTATTTGAAAATTGTCTGCATATAAATGGTTAATAAAATGGTAAATGACCTGTACTTATATAGCTTTTCTGTTTACCTTATAACTAAATTGTAGCTACAGCTGCCCTGGGGCTCACTGACAGAAGCGAGGCTGCTGTACACTGGTGCCACATGGCCCTCTGGCCACCATTGCTAGGCAATGTAATATTTAGTATTACATATTACTAAATATAGTACATCTTACTAAATATTTAGTGGAAATCTCTTGTAAAATGGAGGAGATATAGCGCAAACAATAAGAGTCCCAGGATAGAACCCTGAAGGACACAATAAAGGGGGGCAGATGATGACATGAGTCCCCCAGCCTGACAGACAGACCTCTCTGACAGGTAGGATCTAAACCACTGGAGAGCACTCCACCACACAAGACAGAGAAAACCCAGAAAAGCAATGCACTACATGTACTATTTGAAATGTACTATTATAATAGATGGTTGCTTGATTAACTTTATTTAAGAAACTTTTGAAAGCACATAAAGATTCAACAGATATCGCTCAATCTAAAAGGAAGAATCAGAATTTTAATGGTTTCAATTAATCTTTATATGCCGACTTCAGTGGTCGCCCAGCGTAACTCCATCCTTTGACGTTTGTCTTCTTTTTAATTTGTGTATCCGTCTGGGCGATATGGCTTAAAAATCTCTAACTGATTCTGACTATATAGGTAGATAATTTCTTTTAAAAACTAGCTTTTTTTTTCCAACCACCCTCCTAGAAGGTGCCCTTAATTCAGATATGCCAAAAGTCAGTGCTTGAGGGCCACTATCCTGCAGGTTTTAGAGGTTTCTCTGCTTCAGCACAGATTACAGTTCACCAAAAGTCTGTTAATCAGCTCTCAATGAAAATCAGCTGTCCTGAAGCAGGGAAACCTCTAAAACCTGCAGGAGAGCGGCCCTCAAAGACCGACTTTGGGCAAGCCTGCGGCTAAATTTAAAGGGCAACAGAATTCGAGTTGTGAAACATGATGTAAAATAATCTTGTTTCAAAACAAACAGTGAAAAAAATAGAAAAAATATATATATGTCTGAAACTAGTGGTATCACACAGAGAGCTAATTTATCAGTTATAAGTACACATCTAAGAAGGAAGGGTTGATTATTTAAAAAAATTAAAATAAAATCCTGATTTTCCAAAAATGAAATCTTCATAAACAAAAAAAAAAAATGTATTAATTGATTTTATCAATGAATACACCCAGCCCCAGTACAGAGTGATATATGATCCTAATATATTATTCATATTAGCAATACAATTATTTCAGTAAATGGTGTGAAAGTGTGGAACAAACGCAAAGTTAAATTAAAGCAATGTTCAAGTATGAGAACGTCTGGGAAAAGACTTAAACTGGTTTTCTTAAAAAGATACGAGATGGAAGAAGTGCAGTGAATATCAGTGGATATTCTTAGTCGCTGTGGATGGGTGTATAAATGTTTCTACAATGATTGTGAGAATGAGTATATGTTTTTATGTACATAAATTAACAAATTTGCACACTAAATTAATTCTGAGTAGCATGGACTCAGAAGTTATGTAGGATTTGATTGTTGAGGTTAAGGGATATAGGAAGGTAGACTGATTATGATTAAATAAGTTTCACTTCATACCACTAAGCACTAAATTAAACATATCATTATATATTTCTCTAAGTATTCATAATATTTGCATGTGTTAAATTTGCATTTTTTGGTTTAATAAATTGTCTGAAATAAAGTCATTCATTGAAATAATTTGGCATAATTTGTCTATATAATTTGACTTGCATCAATCTAACATTTTAATATTTTCAAAATGTAATAAAAAACAACAACATTTATTTACATGACTTACCGTAGGAGTATAACGCCAAGCCACTATAAAGCATAGTTATGTTCCATGATAACCCAATGAGAATAAAAGCTGGAATCAGCATCATTATTGCCTAAAAAAAAGATTCATTTCAGTATATTTTATTGTCCTTTAGGCTTATTTTGCATCTTTCCAACAGACTGTATCTTTACCGTGCGAACAGCTCGTATGTGTTGGCCAGGTTTGATTCTTCGAGCGTAACCACCCTGGATTAAAGCCATGATGACACCAATGAAGAAGAACATCTTTCCCTGCTGCATGCTGTTGAAAGAACAACAAAGACACATTTTGAGTTGTTGCCAAAGTATTTCCACAAGGAATGATGCAATATTCAGCCTTATCTTTAAGCTCATACCTTGTAAACTGGAAGCGCTGGTGAGTCAGAAAACTCAATGTGAACTCTAGACCAGAGAACAGGAAGAGGTAGCAGAAATAGACCAGCCCCAACACTTGGAGCTTCTGCATTCCTGTAAGAAACACTCCCAGTGTTAGTGCATTTATGGTCTAATTAAAAGGTATAATAGTGTAATACCAGCACTCACTTTCTTTTGAAGGTGGTTCCTTCGTCTTGGTGACGGCGGTGAAATGGAACAAGGAGAGTGGACTGAGAAGATCCCAGGACTCCCCACAGCCAGATAGTGAAGCCTGGAGCAAAACAGGAATAACTTTTTACATTTGTGATCTAAATATTCTCTAAAGAGCTTGTGTGTTGTTCTCTTTTAGCAGAATAGCATCTAAAGAATCTGATTCCAGCATGACCCGCTCCTCGTCTCAGTACCTTAAACGGTTTATTTTCGCTAAACATCTTGACTCTCTATTTCTTTCTAATTTTCCATCAACATGAAAACATTTCCATGTTTTAGACAAAATACTTTTCCTCATATTCATCAGTTATGAACAGTTTAAAACAGCACTATCCACCATCTTCTGCTTAGCCAAAAGAATGGTGTTAACTCAGCGGTTCACATCTGGGATTTTGTTCTTTAGTTCTAAACCCCATATCTCCTGACTACGCATGAAGGTTAGCAGATCTTTCAGAGTAGGTTCCTCTTTACGAAAAACAGAGCAACCGCATCCTTACTCCATACAGTACGAGGCAACTCCCCCTGTAGCTACCAACAAAGATGCAAGTCTTAAAATAACTTAAAATATAAGATGTAACACAGAGGTTGGTGGAAAAAATAAAGACATAAGCAGAACAGGGATATTCCAGGAGCACAAGTATCTACATGTTAAGATGCACGTGGAAAACCATTAAAAAATGCTGGAGCTCACTGTAGTGTAAGCCTGGTGAGTTGGTTCAGCATAGAAAGCTGACAGAACTTCTTGCAGAAACTTCCACCATGAAAGCCCAGGTTTTGGTGATGTTGAGCAACAATCTCGCACCAACAGATTATTGCAAGGGCTTAGATAGGAGGGAGCAAGACTGATAAGGTTCTTCACTGAGATCACAAGTTTACAATCTACCCATATGTGTGCATGTTGGGGTGGTTAACTGTATTTGGAAGAAGTTTCCTGAAGAGGACAACATGTGAAGCCTTTCTGTCCGATGGTTTTCAAACCAGTCTGTGGAAGAGAATATAGGCCGCTGATTAGGAGTTCACATATTAAAGTACGGTAGTTGTGACCGATGCCGTTTGGCTCTTCTATAATAACGATAACAAATTACCTTATTATAATTAGTTTTATTGTTGAGGAAAATTAAAGGACAGCCTACTCTTAAATGGCTAAGGCTCCACGCTAACTTCAGCATCGGGTAGTGATCTAGTCTCTGACATCAGGCGGAGAAAAGTTTCCTTTAGTTGTTCCGCTTGGGCTGAGAGATGTTTCAGCAGTTTTTTTCTATCTACAATCTGTTTGTTTGAGTCATGTAATAAAGTTATTGGTTTTGTTTAGCTTTACTTTTTCAAAGACTGGGGTGGACTCAGGTTTCAGCTCCGGAGTGTTAGAGTTAATTCCTTCCACTATCATCTCTTCTGATGCACAGCCTCTGCAACCGTCAAATCTGTATCTATTTTAAAAAAATCAGATGGCCGCAAACCCGCGCAGACCTCAAGCGGAAGTGCGCAGACAAAAAGTAGCTGTGATTGGTCCTTGGTTTGCCTTTCTGGCTGTCTGTGTGGTCGTCCTTCTGGATTCGGTGCTGGGGTGCGCCATTTTTAAAAACCGAGGAACAATGGACAACTACAACGAAACTACAAGGAGGTTCGGAAGTATAACCACTTGTATGATCTTCCAAGTAATTTCACGCCAAGTAATTTCCCTCTGGGATTATTAAAGTATGTCTGATTCTGATTCATTGTTGTTTTTATCGATAAACACTCCCGCCGGCGCCGCTGAAGTTCTCGTGACCATCCGCCGAAGTTCTCATGAGTTCTCCAACGGTGCAGAAGCATACTAACAAAATGCCATTTATGGCCATGCAGGTGGTTAAAACATTGCGCCTGTTAAACCAGGCCAATAACAACCTGAACAACTCCCCATTCCAGAGGCATGGGCCAGTTTCAGGTTAATTTGAAGGCCAACAATGACCTTAACGACTCTCCATTACTAAGGGGTGGACCAGTTTTCTAAGCCATAACAAGGCTTTTGTTGGGTTGTTCTATAAAGGTTGGAACTCAAATACTAATCCAGACACTTTTTGAATTAAGAAGCTTCCGGTATGGGAAGCGAAACGTCTTCAAACTTGGAAAACAAAGTCCAGGGGTTTGTTTTAAACTTTTTTGGAACGACTATGACCCGGATGAGTGAGAATCTTCACCAGCACTTTTCAAAGATGGTCTTTAATGTTCCGCAGCCACCAGATAACACAGGACATGGTCACCTTGTTCATGTTGGATTCACTGACAACGAGCTAATCAGGATCTGCTGCAGAAAAGCATAGACAAACCATGATGTTTCCTCAAACACTCCATACAGTAATATGGCCTTCTTTTCCTGGAGTATTATACTTGGTTTAAGCCAAACATCTCCTCTGCTCTGATGTCCAAAGGATCCAATATCAAATCTATCTACTATCGTCTCTTTCTGGCAAACTTAAGTGTGGTCTTCATATTTTATTTTAGAGAGAAAATGTTCTGCATGCACATCATCCATCAAGGTTAGTGTATATATTCTCTTCTTTAAGGTTAAGGCCAAAAGTCACAATTTAGGTGTTTTTTTTTTAAACGTCTTTGCTTGCAGTGTTTAGCTGAACTTGCTTAGAGAGACAGGCCTGGGCGTGTCTGTTTTCATTTTGAATTCCCTCTGCTTACACACCATTTTCCTAATAGGGTCCATTTTAAAAATTACTCTTTAAATCCCTTTCCAAAGTTGATACCCCTCTAGGATCGGGGTATAGGATGGGTAACAATGTTCATGTAGCCAATTTAAAACACCTCTTTTATTGTCGGTATATATGATTAATCAGTATAAATAGATTTTTAACAAAAAGTAAAAATCTGTTTGTCCTAAGTGTTTGGTTACACTAAATAAATGTTTTAGCTTTGTTTGAAAATCCATGGATCTAAATATGTCTGTTAAGCATTTATCAGACACCCTGCTGCTCAGCTTGGGATTCTTTGTTTCTGTGCTTGCTAAGCTTCACATGGGCCTAAGAAACAGCATGTTAAAATACAGAGGCAATAACCTGGCTTTGAATTTCCGTTTTAGGTTTTCCAGTTGTTGCCTGTTGCTGTGTTTACCATACAGACATGATGTTGGTATTAGGGTTGTCACGATACTAAACTTTTCAACTTGATACCGATACTAAGGAAAATATTCGATACTCGATACCATTTTCGATACCACAAGAATAAAAACTCCAAATTTCAACAGAAATATTTTGATTAATAATTAAAATACAATAAATAAATACAATAAACAATAAGAACAATATTTTGAGGTTGTATGCTGTGCACAGTATTAAGCAAGCTTGATAAAAACTTACTAAATTAAAATTAAGTTTTCCTTCCTTTGCTATGCTTTGCACACATAGCAATGACACTAGCCAAACCGGTTAAGAAACAAAAATAATTCTCAGCAGCTGCACCTGTTACAAAAAACAATCTGAAACTGAAAAATGCACAGAATTATTCAATCACACAGTGTTCAGAAAGTGCATTTTCCTCTATTCTGCACTTTAGATGAATGACTGTTTAGGTGCCACTGGTGGTAGCACTGTATCGATACTTTTGAAAATGAGTATTGTATCCGGATACAACGTTTCAGTATCGATACTTTTTTGAGTATCGATACCTTTGACAACCCTAGTTGGTATCTACTTTTTATCTACTTCTGAGGAACAAGAAAATAAGCTAAAGCAGTAACATTTTTCGACAATTAATGACAATATTAATGCCCTGCTGTAATAAAAAACTATTCAAATTTCTCTTTGGGAGCATTTTCATTTAGATACTTAACTAAAATAATGTAGTTTTTATACAATGTTTGGATTCTAAATACACTATTTACAGCACAGTTTTTTTATAATGCCCCAAAGGAACAGATGTTAAAGGAATAGTACACCCAAAACATGATTAGCCTTCATTTTCTACTCACCCCCATGCTGAACAACACTCTGGAGTACTTTTTTGATATCTCAAATGCATCTGGAGATCTGGGAGGCTTCTTGCTGTCTGCTGACATTCAAATAATGGAGGTCTATGGTGCCCGAGGCAGAAAGGTCCATAAAAGTCCACAAAAAACGTTTAAATATTCCTCCATACTGCTCGTCCAATGTATTACAAGTGTCCTGAGTGGGTAGCATCCAGAATTTACTCGAAACAAAGTCATTTAGAATGTTTTTAGAGCATAAACAGTAGTGTATAGGATTTCCTGAAAGCGCGTTCCCGGCGCTATGGAAACCGCGGCAGACCAAACCAGACGAATGTGCGCATTCAGCTCAGCAAAGAACTCATGCTCTTCCTCAACACTGAAGTCCTCAGACATTTTTCTTTCGTTGTTTCTTTCTTTGCACAGGTAAACAGCACATTTCTTCTTCTACGCTTGCATTATTGGCAGAGCAGACGCTGAATGCGCACTTTCATCTGGTTTGGTCTGCCGGCTTCCATGGCGTCATGAACGCGCATGTGCGCGCTTTCAGGAAATCCTATACACTACTGTTTATGCTCTAAAAACATTCTAAATGACTTTGTTTCGAGTAAATTCTGGATGCTACCCACTCAGGACACTTGGAATACATTGGACGAGCAGTATGGAGGAATATTGACAGTTTTTTGTGGACTTTTATGGACCTTTCTGCCTCGGGCGCCATAGACCTCCATTATTTGAATGTCAGCAGACAGCAAGAAGCCTCCCAGATCTCCAGATGCATTTGAGATATCAAAAAAGTACTCCAGGGTGTTATTCAGCATGGGGGTGAGTAGAAAATGAAGGCTAATCATGTTTTGGGTGTACTAGTCCTTTAAGGCTGGCTCATGGTATAAATGTCTCCTGTTAGAAAACATCCAACCAATCATGTACTGCAAGTACATGAATAAAGGAAGTATTTCCGAAAGGTAATATTCCATAAACACGGTGACACCCTCGTCTTTGTCCACGTAACACATGTTTCTCCCATATTTATGCCTTTGAATCTCACCTTAGTGCCCTTTGGTAGAGTTTCTGGCAACATCAGCCAAATAAAGACAAGATCAGCGACACTGAAGGCCAAGGCAAGTAGAGCTGGAGTTTCATAGAAGACGTTTTCTGTTGTTTTGGAGCTGACAGCAAAGTAAGCACCCATAAGAGGTCCAACGGTGAAGCCCAAGGAAAAGGCAACACCAATCATTGCCTGGTGAGACATAAGGAAACAGAACCCCAAACCACACACCAACTTTCAGAAAATGTATTAAGACAGTAGCTTTGTAATAGCAATGCATTATCAATAAGTTTACTCTTTATCGTCACAGAGGTCTGTTCTTACCATTCCTTTGTTCCGGGCTTTTGGGCATGGCAGGTCTGCGATGATGGCTGTGCAGAGGCTGACGTTCCCCTTACAAATTCCCCCAATTACCCGAAACAAAAGGAACATGCTGAAGCTCCGGGAAGCAGCCCAGACCGCGTAGGAGGAAATCAGCCCTAACTGAAAAACAAGGCAAGCAATGAGATCCAAACTGATCAGCCCTGGTGGAAAAAGGCTCATAAACCTCATCATGGGTAACAAGAAATATTTATGGTGTTATAATTTGCTCTCACTGTGGTAAAGATGAGGAGAGGTCGTCTGCCATGATGATCAGACAAAGCTCCCGTTAAAGGTGAGGACAAGAACTGCAGCAGAGAAAACAGCGACCCAATCAGACCTGAAAGACATAAGATAGGGCAATAAACGGGAGTCAGTCCTCCATCTTGTTTCAGTTAAAATCTCCTGGTTTATAACAATGGATCGGAACAACGTACCTCCAAACAGAACAGTGTTGTATTTCTTTTCCATAGGAATACCAACAGCCTCCCTAAACCAGTCGACCACACTCTGCAGGGACTGATATGTGACATCCTGTCCCAGAAAGCAAACACAAAAACATCACATAGAGGCCACCTAGTAAAGAGGCCACTTAAGAGTGAGTCAGCACTTAGACCTCCCAAACTAATCCAACCACTCACGTGCTGGTTATGGTTTTTAATGGAAGAGTCATCACACAGAACAACCTTTTGTTCAAAGCAGGACTCAAGTCTGAGCACATGTACTCTAAATCAAATTTTCTTTACTTTAAAAACAAAATCGTTGCATTTTAAAGTCTTTAAAAGGTTCCAGAAGATGCTACTCACCCCTGCCTCAGCATAATGATCCAGAATAGAAGGCAGCAGCGGCAGAATCAGGGTGAAGCCCAACAGGTCCAGCAGCAGGGTGATGAACACGACGCCAATGACCTTTGACGAGAAGGAGTTCCCATCTTCAGCAGATTTGTTCATAGCTGACATTCCTGATGTGATTATTCCCACTGTTCACAAAAGAGAAATAAATGTATATATTTCATTTTTATATATCTACCATCTGCCCACATGAGCTTTCACACATTTTATGACAAAGGTCAGTATTTCTTACTGCAATAGATCAACACTAGTGAATAATTATGAAGTGAAAGGAAAATAAAGACTTTCATTATTATTATTTGACAAGTAGAGGAATCCTTAATAAAATCACTGTTTTCAATAATAATCTTTCAGAAAATAAACTCAGATTGCACCTGAATGTATTCTAATCTCATGACTTTTAAGCCAAATGAAAACACTTGTGAACAGTGTGACAAAGACCAATGAACACATCAGGCAGATCACAGACCAACACTCCACATGATCTTGAACACACCATCCCTGTAGGAGTGGTCGATCAATCAAAGTCTAAACCTGCATTCAATTTTCAGCAAATTTTCATCAAACCCTCCTCATCTTTCTGTGTTTTCAGATAAAGAATAGGAAAAATATTCAGTGTCAACCTCTGCAGACATACCCAAGAGACTGAGCTAAAATTGCAGCAAACAGTGGTTCTACAGGGTCATGAAATACAAATGCATGCCACACTTTCTAGATTTTATTTGAAAAAAAATGTTGTACATCTTACAACAATGTAATATTTCTTTATTTCTCTTGTTACAAATAATTCCGATAAAATATAATGAAGTTTGTGGATGGAATAAAATGTCAAGAGGTTCAAGGGATAAGAAAAAAACTTTTGCAAAACAATGCATGTATGCAATCTACTTAGAATGCAGGTTGAATGAAATAGTTTCATTAGTTGGATCGCTAAAAAAGGAACCCAGCTTCAAAGAAAAAAACAACCTCTTTCACTTTGATATTAAAGACATCAAAACACGTTTATTGTAAAATGACAGAAGGTAAGTTCTATTTCTTTAAGTATTATCCCTTCAAAGTTACATTGATGCATCCATGAAGCCTTTATAGAATGATTATTAACAGTATATGCTGCTGTAATGATGTATTGTGAAAATAAACAAAGTTTATGCAGAAATGCTATGTAGACAGCAGCATATCAAACCCAAAGGTGAACGGGATTAGTAAAGTTTGTTTCGGTAAGTCATTCTTCCAGTAAGTCACCAGGAAAGAAGCAGAGAATCAAGGAAGAAGGAAACATTTCCTGTTCCTGCTGAAAAACTGGCCGTGATCCAAATATTATCACTAATTCAGACTATATTCTATGAAAAATAAGAACATTTCACTAACTTAATGCTTGTTGCAGAGTAAAGAATCAGCCAGAAGAGGCCAATCAGTGGATCTCTATCAGCATCACCTCCTTCCTGACAGTTTGGAGCTACAGGATAACAAACGCCCACTTTACCTCTTGTGTCTTGTTCTGCTGGTGGATCAGGGCAGCTGATCAGGCTGGTTTACCTTATCGACTGTGGACTTATCCGTCCACCACTGTGTGTCCATACCAGGAACTGGAATCCTTTTTCACTCGGATGACAAGAACGTGTCGTAACAAGCACTACGCCCGCGCTGCGTTCAAGACACCCTACTAGGCTCGTGAATCTGCGTTTCAACAAATTGTTTGTATTTGCTCTGTACGTAACTCTTCAAAGATTCCTGGTTAGACGTCGATTTTTTAAAGAGACAACGGGAAGATCCCATAGCCTCCAATATAAACCATTTTTGCGATTATAGATTCAATAGCTAGTTAAATCATCCGTATATCCATCAGGGTCCATGGGCGAAAGGCGGAGTAGACCCTGGATGCATCGCCAGTCCATCGCAGATAGTTCATTTTAACATGTTCTCACATCAGCTCACATATACGGAAGAGGATTAGGGCCTCTGAAAAGAAAGTTAACTGAATTTAATATTTTATTTCAGTATAATATGAGGAAAAAGTCAGAATTCCTACTTTTTTTCCTTCAGAATTCTGAAATTAATCTAAGAATTCTGACTTAATCTAAAAATTTTGACTTTTTTCCTCAGAATTCTGACATTTTTCTCAAAATTCTGGCTTTAATCTCAGAATTCTGACTTTTTCTCAGAATTCTGACTTAAATCTCATACTTTTGACCTTTTCTCAGAATTCTGACTTAAATCTCTGAATTTTGACTTTTTTCTCAGAATTCTGGCTTAAATCTCTGAATTTTGACTTTTTTCTCAGAATTCTGGCTTTAATCTCAGAATTTTGACTTTTTTCTCAGAATTCTGGCTTTAATCTCAGAATTTTGACTTTTTTCTCAGAATTCTGGCTTTAATCTCAGAATTCTGACACATTGTTATAACTTTTTTTTTTCAGTGGCCCTAATCCTCTTTCGTACACATATGACTACAGTATTTGGACAACAGGTATGTTAATTTACAACTGAAACTTTATTGTAATTCTAAAAAAGTAGCTGTGACACCTCCACAAATCATGTTTTGGCTAAACATATGTTTGATTAACAAGGAAATTATAATTCTCAGTTGGTTGTCAAATTAATGATCATCAAAGAGGACTTAACATCTGTCCATAATTGACAAAAGTGCCTTTTCCTGCTTTAAGGACCTTGATGTCCCTGTGCTTTAAAGCCTATTTGCATTAATGTCTCGGCCAGAGGTCTGCAAACTTTAAAAATCCAAAGAACCTTTTTCAAATTTCAGTCCAGCTAATAAACCTCGTTTAGAGTGGCAAAACATTGCATGGTCTTTTTTTTTTTTTTTTTTTTTAACAAAATGATAAAATATTTAATATATACTGTGAGAGATTTGTCCTTTTTAAACAACAATCGTGCAATTTCCTAATTTTAAGTTTTAAAATGAAGGGGGGAAATTGCACATAGAGAATAAACGTTCTTCAGTTTGTTAAAAAGAAAAACCTTTTCCTATTAAAAAGATGAAATATATATTAGAGTACATTTATTTTATGAATGAAAAAAATGATTTCAGCTCAGCTATCAAAACTCAATTATATCCACAAATGTTACATAACATAAAAAAAAAAAAAGAAAAACAACTTGATATTGAACACAAAATTACAACAGGCAGGTGATATATTTGCAAAACCATGTAAAAAAAATAAAATAAAAATTTTCCCATTTTGAAAGATATTTGTTTTGAGAAATTCCATGCAATTTGACAGTTGAGGAAAATGGGGAAAAAAAAGCATTTGTTTGTATATCTATTGTTCAGAAGATTTGCCATTATTTAAAGGGATGAAGAGCCATTGCTGAGTGTCTAACGCAGGCATCCCCAAAGTTGGCCCTCAAGGGCTGCTGTCCTGCAGATTTTAGCAGTTTCTCTTCTTTAGCAAAGCTGATCCTGATAATTGAAGTTTAGGAAAAGCTTGTTATTCAACTATCAATGTAAATCAGCTGTGCTGGAGCAGGTAAACCTCTAAAACCTGCAGGACAGCGGCCCTCGAGGACCGACTTTGGGGATTCCTGGTTTAAAGAGTCTAAAGAGTGATTTGGCAGTGGTGGTTTTAGACCAAATTTACCAGGGGGACATGAACATTGTTTTTATGGGGACAACAAACTAAGAATGACACAAAAAAGAGGGCAAAAGTTTTTATTTTTATATTCAATGAAGAAAAGAGCCAAACTAACTTAAAAGAAAAAAAGAATCCAGCAGCCACTTTCTTTTTTATTTGTTTACATTGCAAAGCCAATGATGGCACTAACTTGAATGTAATTAATAACAGGTTTAAACCTAAACAGAAGCTCTCAGTGAAATTTAGAAATTGAGTATTTAAAGTAGAAACAGAAAGCATGGTTCACAGTGTAAGGGTCGCTTATTTTACAGCAGCAGCATAAGATAACACCTTTTTTTACTGCACTGCAGTTAAAATAGAAAAGGACAGAAAAATTTTTAAACAAAAGGAAACTAACTTAAACCTTTAAAGTCAGATCGCATAAGCTTCCTGATCATCCTGTTTGAAGTTTAATTTTCTTTATGTATTCATGTAAAACAGTTTTATAAAACACTTACTAAAAAAGGACTAAAAAAAGACAAATGAAATGATCTATTTGTAACATTAAAAGACAGAGGATGGACAAAGTGAAAAGAATAACACTTTTAATACTTCAATTATCTAACAGCGGGACGTGCCTCAGACGTCAACACAAAGGAAAGCGTTAAACTCCGTGACGCATGATGTGGCGATTCAGTTCAGTGATATTCATGAGGTTTCGTCCACAGAGCTCACAAGTGAACAGCTTCTTATGTAGAGGCTCAGCAGCTCCATCCATGTCAAGCACACCTACAAAATAAAAGCAAAGCTTTTTACCAAAACAAATTAAAGGTATAGTGGCGGCTGTTCTTTTTCCGGGTGGATCATCAAAATAAGTGGTCCTCCTAACTGTCAATCATTCTGGTGATATGTTTACATAAGGCCTTCCTACGTGCTCGTCCTCATTTTCACTTAACAGTGGTGAGTCTGACATACATAGAAAAATTGCCAATCTTCTTTTGGAGTAAGCTTGCATGGGCTATGAAAACAGCAACTTTTAAACAGTGTACAAGAGGAGAAATGCTCTTGCACACATTTAATAGACTATATATATATACACTCACCGGCCACTTTATTAGGTACACCTGTCCAACTGCTCGTTAACATTTAATTTCTAAGCAGCCAATCACATGGCGGCAACTCAGTGCATTTAGGCATGTAGACATGGTCAAGACAATCTCCTGCAGTTCAAACCGAGCATCAGTATGGGGAAGAAAGGTGAGTTGAGTGACTTTGAACATGGCATGATTGTTGGTGCCAGAAGGGCTGGTCTGAGTATTTCAGAAACTGCTGATCTACTGGGATTTTCACGCACAACCATCTCTAGGGTTTACAGAGAATGGTCCGAAAAAGAAAAAACATCCAGTGAGCGGCAGTTCTGTGGGCGGAAATGCCTTGTTGATGCCAGAAGTCAGAGGAGAATGGCCAGACTGGTTCGAGCTGATAGAAGGGCAACAGTGACTCAAATAACCACCCGTTACAACCAAGGTGGGCAGAAGAGCATCTCTGAACGCACAGTA